TACACAGAGGTCTACAGCACCCCCTGTGCATCCTGACTAAAAACGGGGGCGGGGGGCTCCCGGGAGGCTCAGTGGTGATGCCTCTACCTTGGGCTGTGGACGTGATCCCGGGGCCCTGGGGTGGAGCCCATATCAGGGGTGGGGCGGGTCCCTGCTCAGCAGGGGGTCTGCCTCTCCCTCTCCCTCCACCCCTGCCCCCCTCAGCTCGTGCCCCCTCTCTCCCTCTCCCTTTCTGTTTCTCAAATAAATAAAATATTAAAAAAAAAAACTGAAAACTGGAAACTGCCCTGATGCCTTTTCGCGGGTGAACGGCAAAGCAAACTGGTCCTCCGGGCCTAAAACATGGTCCTCGGTGGTGAAAGGGGGCAGCTGTGGACCCACTTAGCAACCTGAGGCCCCCGGAGGAAGGGACACTAGGTGGAAAAAGGGAATCTCAAATGGACGGAATCCCTTGTAAAAACCAATCCACTCCTGTTTTCTGGTCTCCATGACTGTCTCACTGCAACGTGGAAGCTGTAAATGCCAGAAGCCGTGAGCAAGGGCCTGGCACCTCTGTCCTGTCCCCTCGCAGCCCTGGCGGCAACTCGGAGATAACGGGTTTCCTTCTGTAAGCAGACACGGAGCGTGGCCTCTGTCATTGGTTGTCGCTTCTGGATGTGCCAGTGTGACTGGCTGGACCCCTTCCCCGCTTCCCCTTCACTGGAGAACTGCCTCAGTCGGGGTCTGGCGTGTGCCCTAGGGACCCCGGGGACCGTGCACGGAGGCCGGCCCCACTCCGGCTGGGCTCCTGGCTTCCACTGCTGTGGAGGCCAGAGGCTCACCAGGTCCCCCTGGGGCTGCTTCTGACGCCCGTGGGGTAGGGGCACGGGGGCGCTCCAACGGTGGGGACACCTGCCTTGTTGGCTGTGCCCAGAGGGCTGCAAGTACCACGGATGCACCATCCGCTGAGAGGACACTGGAAACCAGTCTGCTTTGGAGAAGAACTTACAGAGAATTGTATTTTTTTTTAAGATTTTATTTATTTATTCATGAGACAGAGAGAGAGGCAGAGACACAGGCAGAGGGAGAAGCAGGCTCCATGCAGGGAGCCTGACATGGGACTCGATCCCAGGTCTCCAGGATCACGACCTGGGCTGAAGGTGGCGGTAAACCACTGGGCCACTGGGGCTGCCCTGTATTTTCTTTTTTTAAAAGATTTTATTTGTTTATTTGAGAGAGGGAGAGAGAGAGAGAGAGAGAGAACACAAGCAGATGGAGGGGGAGGCAGAGGAGAGGGAGACGCAGGCTCCCTGCCAAGGACCCTAGGACCCCGGGATCATGACCTGAGCCACCCAGATGCCCCCCAATTTACAGAGAATTTTGGAAGAATAGAGAAAAATGTAGACACTTTACAGTTTCTCTGCTTACTGAAGTCATACATGCTTGTTATAAAAATCCCAGAAAACATAAGTGAAATTCAGTCCAATCTTTGTGTATGGGTTTCTTTTTCTTAAAATAATGGCTTTATTGGGATGCCTGGGGGCTCAGAGGTTGAGCATCTGCCTTTGACTCAGGGCGTGATCTTGGAGTCCGGGATTGAGTCCCACATCAGGCTCCCTGCATAGAGCCTGCTTCTCCCTCTGCCTGTGTCTGCCCCTCTCTTATTCTCATGAATAAATAAAAAATCTCAAAGAAAATAATGGCTTTATTTAGAGAGGTACTTATATATCTAATATCGTACAGTTCAGCCGCTGAGTGTGCTCCACACAGTGGCTTTTGGCACGTTCATGCTGGTGTGGCACTCACCTCACTGCTATAAGTTCAAGAACGCTTCACCACTTGGAACAAGAGGCCTCGTGCTATACAAGGTAAATGTACTCAGTGCAACTGAATTGTACCCTCACGATGCTTAAATAGCTAAATTGTGAGTTTTTATAGTTTAACACAGTAAAGAAGCAGAAAGCCACACCATTGATGTCACGTCCCTGCCCCCCGCCCGCCCCGCGCTGAGCCGCCACTGACCCACCCTTGTCTCTGTGAATTTGGTCCACCCTTGGTGCGGGCGCCTGAGGGCCTGGCCAGCCCCACCGCCCCTTTTGGAGTTGTCAGGTGTGCCCGGCACAGGGCGGGGTACAGGGCGGGCCACCATGCATGGCGGCCTGTGGGCCACAGCCTCCCAGCTCCAGGTCACAGGGTTAGCCCCTCGCTGGGAAGACGAGTGTTTGCAGAGCACCTGTTGCGTGTGGCTTTCCCCTGGGGGAGGTCGGAACACTCCAGAGGGCTCTGGGGCTGAATCCTGAGGGCAGTGAAGGGCAAAGTTGGATCCTTGCCCACAAGGAAAGAGCCAGGAGCAAACGCCCTGGCTGGCGTTCCACCCGGACGGACCTGGCACCGTCCCTTCCTCAGCTGTACCGCCGAATCCTCCGTGGGCCTGCGGCCCGTGTCCTTACGTGTTGTTATAAGGACACCACCCCTGCGGTTCTGGCTTCACCCCGATCAGTCTGCGCGTTAACTCGATGGCCTCCGCAGAGACCCTGTTTCCAAGAAGGTCACATCTGCGCATACCAGGACTTAGGGCTTCATCATATATGTACAGGGGACGCGATTTGACCCGTAACAGGTGGATGCTTTATTATCCCTGATTTGAGCTGAGGAAACTGAGGCACGTTTATGGTTAGCGACAGGATGACGGATGCATGTTCACATTCAGGTATCAGGCCCCCCCCAGGCCAGCGGGCGGGCGCGGCACAGACTTGGGGCAGTCCTGGGAGCAAAGCCCGGCCACTGCTCGTGGGGCACGGGCTGGTCTCGCTCTGCCTGACGCGCGTGAGCCGCGCTCTAGGACGAGGACGGGGACGGGGACGGGGTCGGGAGGCCTCCCTTCAGGCTCCCGCAGGGCAGGGCGGGGGATCCGTGCAGCAGGAGGCCTAAGGTCCCCGCCACGTGCCCCCAGGCCTCGGCCCCCTGGGCTCTCCCTCCCGATGGTATTTCATAAACATTTGTTGATCTCCCAAGTCGTGCACCGTACCGTGCTGGGTCCTGGGGAGACTGAGGATTGGGCCACACCCTGGGCCTGGCATGCGCGGGCTCCCGAGCTGCGTCCGTGCCGTGAGCAGATGCCGTCCGTGGATGTGTCAGATGGAGGGATGTGGCAGGGTCCCGGGGCTGGGGCAGAACAGGTCAGATTACAAACCAACAAGAACTTTTACAGATTGACGATTTTAACAGTAAAAGGGTGTCTGGGCCACTATGCCTGGACCCGTGCTGGGCCCTGGTGCCTGAGGGCACAGAGGAGGGACTGGCTGACTCCGTCCTAAAGGTTGCTTCTTTAAAAAAAAAAAAAAAATTATACCTGAGAGACCCAGAGGGAGGCAGAGACACAGGCTGAGGGGGAAGCAGGCTCCCTGCAGGGAGCCCGATGGGGAACTTGATCCTGGGACCCGGGATCACACCCTGAGCCACCCGGGCATCCCATCTTAAAGGTTTCATGTGTGTTCTGCAAAAGACATGTGGCCCATGTCCCCGTGGGAAGGCAGAGCCACTGTCGAGCCACCCCCCTCCCAGGGTGCCAGGCTGGGAATTCCTGCATCACTACGATCCCCGCTTGAGGGATTTGCAAGCTTGATCTTGTCCTGAGGTTAAGGGAGGTCGTTGGGGCCTTGGCACCCTCCGCTGGTCTGACCTCTGGGGACAGTCAGCGCTGCCCCACTGCCAGCAGCAGGTGGCGCTGTGGCCACCCCCGGCTCCGTTCCCTGGCCCTGACGTCTCTGACTTTCCCAAGGGCTGCTGGGCCTGGAACCAATGCAGTATTTTTCTTTAAACTCCTGTTAAGCATTTATAGCTATCCTAATGGGGACCGTTATTTCTTCGCCATAAACCAATGATGGATGTGAACTTCTGTTAAAAATTCACGTTAGCCATTGGGAACAGCATCCAGGATGTTGAAGGAAGGAGAATGTAAAAGTAGAGCCGTTGGAACAAAGCACGGCGGTCCGCGTGTGGCCATCCCGCTGCTGCCGGGTACTGTCCTGGGCTGGGAGGGCAGGACCGCCTGCTGCCCCCCCGCCGACACCATGCATGCGGGCTTGGGCCTGGAATGGCTCCTTCCTCTTGCAAGTGGAGGGGCTGAGCCCACGGCGGGAGCCAGGCCTAGGAGCCCGACGCTACTCCCCGTCCACCACTCGGACACAAGGACAACCTTAGGAAGCTGGACTCGAGTACAGCCACTTGGTGTCCTGGTGCTTCTGACACCTGAGGAAGCTCCCTGTGGTGGCTTGAAGCCGACAGAGCACCCCCTGGGGCAGACACAGCCTGGGATGGCAGCCAGGAGTTGAGAGGGTGGACGGCAGCCACCACGGGCAGTGGGCCTCGGCCAAAGCGCTTAGCTTCTCTGGGCCCCGTGCCTGGAGGGTCCGAAGCAGGGTGAGGGACGGTGCCGTGTTCCCCTTTGGTCAGCCCTCCCACTTAACTGAAGGCACAACCCTGCAACCTTGCACCTCCCAGGGGGCCCGTCCACCATGGGACGAGGTCTTGGCAAATGCTTTGGTACCTCTTTGTCATCAGCACTGGACAACACTGGGGTCACCCTCAGTCTAGGGTTGCCTGTGTGCCATACCAAGCAAGGTTCTCATAGGCCCCAGGTTCTTGGGTGAAGGGCCCGTGGCCCTGGTCCCGCCTCCCTAAGGCTGAGAGATCTGGGCAGCTTGCCTCAGCTCCCTGTCATGCTGGGATAACCCTGGTCAATTAAATGTCTGATTCGGCGTCTACAGCCCAGAGTCTCCCATGTCATTTTGCCTCAGATACTGACTGTACATTAGAGATAACACCAGCTGCAGTAATAACCCCTGCAGTCCCCACGGATTGACAGCAGAGTAGCTCAGTTCCCCTGAAGGCCTCGGCAGGTGCTGGGCACTGCCGTGGGGCCAGGCCCCCGTAGGGATGGCAGGCGCGGCCCCCACCCTCAGAGAGCCTCGTCCTGCCTGACAGGGATGCTCATCCAAGGCCTTTGTCTCTCTCCTCAGTACTGTACCTGGAAGGCTCTGTTCTTGTGTTTGAGGACATCTTCAGACTGATTGCATTCTACTGTGTCAGTAGGTGAGTAGAACTGCCCCGCCGAGGGGCACCTGCATGCGGTCAACACTCATGTACCCTGGGTGGGGCGAGGGCCCTGGGGAGGCCCCCAGAGGGGAGGGTCCAGCCCGGAGCCCTCACAGAGAGGGGACAGCCCAGAGCCTTCACAGAGGGGGAGGGTTCAGCCTGCAGCCCTCACAGAGGGCCAGGGTCCAGCTTGGAGCCCTCACAGAGGTGGAGGGTCCAGCTTGGAGCCCTCACAGAGGGCCAGGGTCCAGCTTGGAGCCCTCACAGAGGGCCAGGGTCCAGCTTGGAGCCCTCACAGAGGGCCAGGGTCCAGCTTGGAGCCCTCACAGAGGGCCAGGGTCCAGCCCAGGGTGGCACAGAGGGGAGGGTCCAGGCTGGAGCCCACACAGAGAAGGGACAGCCCCTGGCTTGGCCCTGGTGACCTTGAGGGTGGTGTTGGCTGTGCTGCTGTGTTGGTCTGGCTTGTCAGGACCCCTCCCTCGTCACCTCCTGCCCCCGGTCCACTGCCCCCACCCCTGCTTCCTGCACTACAGCTCCAGGACACTGGGAGTCCCTTGTGGGCCTGACCTGCCCTGTCCCAGGGATCACAGAGGACACTCCCTGTGGGGATGGCAGGAAAGGCTGATGCCCCACAGTGACACAGAGCCTGAGATGATGAAGATGATCAGTGGCTGCCAGGTAGGGTGGGGACTGGCCACTGCCCTCAGAGCCTGAACTGGTTTTAGATCCACGGGGATGTACAGATACCTCTGGACCGTAGTGACACCAGCTGCAGGACCTTGACAAGGGCAGGCCAGGGTGGCCTGGGGGTCAGGCCCATGACCCATCTTTGCTGCCTCCAGTGAAAACTGCGCCCGGCCTTTTGGCCAGAACCACCATCTTCCAGTAATTCGCCAAAATGACCAACACAAAGGGAAAGAGGAGAGGTACCCGCTGTATGTTCTCTAGGCCTTTTAGAAAACATGGAGTTGTTCCTTTGGCCACATACATGCGAATCTATAAGAAAGATGATATCGTGGACATCAAGGGAATGGGCACTGTTCAAAAAGGAATGCCCCACAAACGTTACCGTGGCAAAACTGGAAGAGTCTACAGTGTTACTCAGCATGCTGTTGGCATTGTTGTAAACAAACAAGTTAAGGGCAAGATTCTTGCCAAGAGATTAATGTCCACATTAAGCATATTAAACACTCAAAGAGCCGAGATAGCTTCCTGAAGCGTGTGAAGGAAAATGATCAAAAAAGGAAGGAAGCCAAAGAGAAAGGTACTTGGGTCCAACTGAAGCTCCAGCCTGCCCCACCCAGAGAAGCACACTTTGTGAGAACCAATGGAAAGGAGCCTGAACTGCTGGAACCCATTCCCTGTGAATTCCGGGCATGATAACTGTAAAGAAAATAAAAGACCTCAGGATTGTAAAAAAAAGAAAAGAAAGAAAAGAAAAAAAAAGAAAAGAAAAGAAGAAAAGAAAGAAAAGAAAAGAAAAGAAAGAAAAGAAAAGAAAAGAAAAGAAAAGAAAAGAAAAGAAAAGAAAAGAAAAGAAAGGAAAGGAAAGAAGAAAAGAAAACCGCACCCGACCCGGAGCAGCCCCCAACCTGGCCAGCTGCTCCTGGGCCCCGACGGGCAGCACAGGTGACACGGTGACGCGGTGACCGCGGCGCCTGCCAAGGGCTCTCAGGTGCCCTGTTACCTTGTAAACTGCCCACAGCGACCCGAGAGACATTCCTGTTGCTCAGGTGAGGGAGTGGAGACGAGGAGGAGGAACTGGCTCAGTCATAGCGGGGTAATGGCAGGTGGACAGTCGAAGTAGGTGGAACCCCAGGCCCGCGCCCTTTGTGCAACCGCCCTGCCATGTACTGCCCGCACCCGCTCACACCCTGGGCCTTGCGAGGCACAGCGCGGAGGCCCCAGGCCTGGTGGCTTGAGGTGCAGCACAGCGGTCGGGCAGGTCGGCCCTCCCTGCCCCACGAAGCTGTCATCTCCAGAGGGTGGCCGCCTGGGGAGACCCCACGCTCTGCGGGAGTAAAGGACGCGGCGCCCAGAACCTGGCCGCTTTCCTATCTCTCTGAGGCTCCACGAGCACTTCTGTAAGAAGGGGAATGATGATGCTGGTCAGGCGGCCACGGGAGAAGAGGGTGGGGAAGGAGCGCGCTGGCTGCCGGGCCGCCGGGGGTGTCTGGGCCTGTTTCTGCAGATGCCACCCCAGCCTTAGCAGGATCCCTGGGAGCTTTCAGGAACACAGGAGTGACCTTGGGGTCACCCACCTTAAAGCCAAGGTTGCTGGGCCTTTGCACCCCCAAGCCCACCCCTCCCTGGGGGGCAGAGGCATTTGTGGCTCTCCGTAAGGGGCCATGGGGCAGGCATGAGGCTCCAGCAGCCAGGACAAGCCTCTGGGGGTCACTGGTGGGAGGGTCCGGGCGTTCTCATGGGAGAGGGAACACTGGAGACCAGGCAACAAAGCGCAGGAGGAGAATTCTAGGCAGAGCAAACACCACAGGCAGAAACTTGGTGGTGGGAAGTTCCGCAAACTGCTGCCCTGGGAGAAGCAGACACCGGGGTGGAGATGAGAAGGGATGCCTCATATGCGGTGCCCAGGAGCCATGGGGACATCCTTCCTTGGCTGCCGGGAGCCACACAGCTGCTCCCTGTCCACATGCAGTTCAGCGGAGCCACACAGCTGCAGCAGGTGGTGGGCTCACAGCAAGGGGAGACCAGCCCGAGGCCACAGCAGCCGTCCTCATCACAGCGAGGCCTGAACAACTGAGGGGGGTGGGGAACAGAGGAGCCAGGCAGGTGCCGGGCTCCTTTCCTGAGCACCAGGAGCCATGAGGACAAACCCTCAGCCCACCCAGGCCCTGGGCCCTTGCCCTGTGAGGTGGGTGTGCTCAGCCTCTGGGCAGGCTTGCTGAGCCCACGTGGGGAGACAGGTGATGGGACGGTACACTGGGTTTGCCCATGGGGGCAGCAGCCCCTTGGGAGGCTGTGCCATCCAACACCAGAATGTTGGGTTTGTGCTTCACCCCCGTTCCTGATGTGAGGCCCCTACAGCCCTTGGGATTTCCTGAGTGATAGGGTATGTTTTGTTTAGTGCCAAGAGCTGACACAGGCAATGCCCCTCAGTGGCCTCAGGATGGACTGGTCCCAACAGACCCGTCGTTTAGAGGCTGGAACATTCAGCCTCACCCGACGCTGTGGTGAACACACATCGAAGTGCCAGGAGGCCTGCGGGTGCACTTCCCCTAGACCTGCCCCATGTGCCTCTTTGGGCTGTTCCTAACTTGTATCCTTCACACTAAACCTGGGGAGGGGGCTGTGGGGACTGCCAAGCTCTGGCAGGTTTGTAGGGGCTGTCCAGGTGGCCTGGGACTTGCATCCGGCATCCGACGGTGGGATGGAGTCCTAGCCTGCGGGGTGTGAGTGCAGAACTGAAGTAACTGGTGAGACCCCTGTTGGTGTGTGGACAGTTGGGGAGTTGGTGGCCAGTGTTGGAAAGCACCCTGGAGGGGTTATGACATGGGTCTAGGGCATCATGACTGCCTTCCTTTTAGATAAAAAATTAAACCACACTGGTAAATATCAGCAGGGGTCTTGTGTAACTTGGAATAAGTCTCATTTTGCTCAAGTCTTGCCATCAATTGTATGGTTGTGAGAGTGTGAGTGTGCCCCCTGCATCATGGTGCCAGACACACTCTCTTGGGCCGTCCCTCATGCTCAGGGAAAGAAAGTTACAAGAACACTGGCTGGAAACTGAGGCCTCTTAGGGAGGGAGCATGTCCCACCCTGGGGTGCTCGAGCTGACTCACCGGGGCAGGGGGGTGTAGAATTGGAGCATTATTAGAGCATTATTCCATTTTTCAGATTTCTGTTTTTGTGAGTGCTTTTCAATGGACTTAATAGCCTATTATGAAAGGAAAAAATATATATGTTCTCCTATACACATGCACACACCTGCAGAGATGCTTGATTTTTATTTTTCTTGCGAGCCCTGCTTAGGGGTCTGTGGCTCCCACCCCAGGCTGTCCATCAGGATCTCCCTGAGAGCTGGTTAAAAATATGGATTCCTGGCCCAGCCCCCGGACCAACTCTGGGAACCCTCATGCATATTCTGGGTATCTGCATCTTTAGCTGCTCCCCCATGGGATTCTGATCCAGAATTAAGTCATACAAAGACATTAGTGCCTGCCTGTTGGGTTGTGACCATCATCACAAAAATTGTAAGAATATCGGGGTGCCGGGGTAGCTCAGTCGGTTGAGTGTCCCGACTCTTGCCTTCGGCTCAGGTCATGGTGTCAGAGTCCTGGAATTGAGCCTGTGTCGGAGCCCCCGCTCTGTGGGGAACCTGCTCCTCCCTCTCCCCCTGCCCTCCCCCCACTCACACTTCCTGTCTCTAAACAAATAAATAAATCTTTTTAAAAAAGTAGTGATAATATCATGGCCATAAAGCCTGCAGACACCCAGCCCCAGTACCTGGCACATAATAGTTGTTCAGCAAACGGTCCTCCTGTGGCGACTTTTCTTCGGTAAAGAAGCAGCGGCCCCTGGGTGAAGTGCTGCACTGGATGAGGTGTCGGGGAGCAGAGCCAGGAGATGCTCACCATCCCCAGGCCATGGGGGCGGAGGAGGTCCCTGGCGCAGCCTCTGGGATGGAGATGCAGCCAGAGTGGATGGAGGCCCTTCCGTCCACAAAGAGCTCAGAGGCGGGAATGAGCAGGGCACATGCACTCGGGAAATGAGTGTGTGGCTCAGGGAGGCGCCAGAAGGCCTGCGGGGACAGAAGTGAGGAGCTGGCGGGAGACGCAGGGCAGGGGCCAGGCCAGGAGGGCCCCGGGGGCAGCAGTCTCAGGCTGGATGGGTGGGCCGTCCAATGAACCGAGTGACCATGCAACATGCATGGTGGCCGAGGAGCCATTGGGAACCCGGCTGGCTGGCCAGACAGCTCCCAGGTAAACTGAGGAACACAGGCGTGGATGAGCACTGAGGGCGCCATCTGGGTCAGGCCTGACCTGCCTGGCAGGGCCAACCAAAGCCTACACCGGGATGTCTGGCTATGTCCCTGCCAGTGTCACCATCCCGTTAGCCACAGGAAGGGGATGGCTGTATCCAGGTGGCACAGGAAGCTGCCCACAGGCCCGTCGACCAGGGAAAGGCAGTGATGCCCCCACCCCCTGGAACAGGTGCCCACTTCTCCGGGTCCCTCAGGGCTGGCACAGAGCTAGATGGGACTGCTTGCTGCCTGGGCCCCAGGGACGTTTCTGGGCTGCCTGGAGACGGTGGCAGCCATCAGGGCTTGGGTCCTCCTCCATGGGCTGTGGGGCCAGACATGGACACAGGGTGCCCTCTGCTGCTGACCTCTGGCCTTTCCTGTTTCCACAGAGATTTGCTGCCCTTCACGCTGAGGCTGCCCCAGGCCATCCTTGAAGCCAGCAGCTTCACAGACCTCGAGACCATCTCCAACCTGGGCCTGGGTAAGTCCCCTCCAAGTCTCAGGAGAGGCGGCAGGGCTGCAGGACGTGGGGCTTCAGGGCTGCTGGCCTCCAGCACTGGGGTCCTCTCCCTCCCCAGGCTTCCGAGCCCCGGGAGCCCTGAAGAATCTCTCAGCTCTCTAAGTGACAGGTACCCAGAGGGTCTGACACAGCCCTGTGGGACCTGGGGCAGCCGAGGCCGGTCAGAGTGCAGGCTGACCTACCGCCAGGATGTGCCACACGCCCGGACCTCCATCTGCTGTCCAGGGTTGGGCACCCGCACCACCCCTGCCCTGGTGCCTGTGCCAGCCTCGTCAGAAGAAAGAGCAGCATGAACATGATGGCAAACAGATGAGGGATGTGTGACAGCTTTGTAACTTTGTAACCTGTCCTCTGAGGTCTCACGTGGCCCTGAGGACTCTCAGGGCTTCGTACCTGCTTCACATTGTCTCGTGTGATCCCCGTGTCCCCATGTTAAAGGTACAAAATCCAGCCTGAGCAAGGCCAAGGAGTGTGTCCCGGGTGGGCCAGGCAGGGAAGGATGGAGCTAGGACATGCACCTGGGGCTTTCTGACGCCTGGACCCCTCGGCTACACTCTGTGACCTTCTTGCCTGTTTTGCCATGGTCAGGGGCCAATGTGAGGCCAAGTCAGCAGGGAAAGTGAGACGCATGGGCTGGCTCCAGGGGTGGGGGGGGGGTTCATTTCTAGCAGGAGAGGTCTGTGGGCATCAGTCCGCAGCCCTGCAGTGTGGTTGGGGTGGTGTGCTGTGCTGATCTCAGCCTAGCAAGTCCCAGCGTCGTGGTGGGACCAGCCCTCATGGCTCTTGTGAAGTCTGCAAGATGCCCTGTGTCTGCAACAGGCGTCAGGAAACTGAAAAAATAATGGTTCGTTGCTTTCCCGACCTGGAGAAGACACAGCCTGCCTGGAGTCCGCTGGTGAGGTCATGGGGGAGGAAGCACACGTGTAGCATTGGAGTGCTGCTGAGGCCTGAGCCCACAGCCAAGAAGGAATTCTTGGAAGGTCTTTAGTGCAACAGGCTGGTTTTCTGAAGCCTGGGGACAGGACCCAAGGGCAGAAAGGTCTGTGAGGGGTGTGACTGTACACCCGGGAGCTGGGGGAGCTCAGGACCAAGGGAGGCACCACCAAGGATGTTCCTAAGTGAAAGAAGACTCTCAGGGTCATGGAGGCCTGGCCCTTGTCAAGCAGCCATTGCTTTTCCTTCTAGGACGGCATCATGTTGAGACAGTCAGGAGCTTCCCATGTCACACTCTGCCCATATCAGGTCCTTGCCAGTGTGCGGCAGATCACAAAGAAACTTAGTTTCGCTTACTTTCCCTTCTGCCTGTTTCCCACATGGTTCATGGAAGGGAGGGACTGTTAGGGCTCCAGGAAATCGTGTGTGGGGCTCTGGAAGTTCGACTGTTGGTAAGAACGCTCGTACCTTGTCCATCACAAAGACACTGGTCAACCGATGGAGGCTCCTTCCTGCAGGGCTGCAAGCTCTGTCGAGTTAACCGTTTGTTTCTCCCATCCCCTGTTTTGGGGCAGCCAGGGGTGCCTGGGGAATATCACCCACATCCCACCTGGGGGAGCGGAGTGGGGCTGGGATTCGTGGGTGTCAGCTTGCCTCTCTGCTCCCTTGTCACTGGGGCAGGGGTTTCTGCTTTAGTTGCGCTGACTGATGGCAGGGACCAAGGGTTTCACAGGCTCACTCTTAAGTGGTGAATTGAAAACACGAGAGGGGAACTGAATGGGCTGGAAGAGGGAAAAACAAACAAACAAACAAGTGGCCCAAATAGTCCGTTAGCTGAATCGACCAAGACCTGTAAAAGCAGAGAGCCTTAGTGGAGGATGGCGGCCTGGCTGGCGAGCTGGCCTTGTGACCAGCAACACATTTATTCAAGATTTTGAAGGTTGAGAATGCCTCAGCAATCGGAGCTTGAGTCAGCACTTGCTTCACAAAAAGGAAAAAAAAAATCACACACCAGGCAGGTGTCCTGGACTGTACTTCACCCACAGCAATCATACGAAACATGCAGGACGAAGGAATTGTGTCGAGGACCCCAGACACACTAGGCATTGTGCCCTGAGCATCTCCAGCTGTCTAGACAGGCATTCTCCTGACGAGGAGCTGAAACCCACTCACACTGGGGTAGATGAGGGGGACTTGGTGAAAGGACACCGGGGACTCTCCAAGAAACACAGCAAAAGGTCAGCCAGGCTTTGCAGCCTTGCTGAGAACTGCTGGTCCCTGCACCCACCGCCTCCTACCGTGGGGCCCATGCCTGCCCCACCCCACCCGCTGACCTTGCCCTCGGATACATCATGAAGCTCCGAGTTCCTATCTGAAGTGTCTGCAGTTCAACTTTTCTGGAATTCTCACTTTTTACAAAATAAGCAGAATGTGATAAATGTCCGAGTCACTGCAAAGCCCCAGTGCTCAGGCAGGAATGATGTTGCTGAAACAGAGATATTTATTTGCAGGGTCAGCAGCATGTGATAGATAACTTGGAGGGGTTGCTCATTGCTCATGAGCTGACCTCAGAAGGTCCAGGATGGGCCTTGGAAAGGCCAAGGATACCAAAGACGTAGCATCTTGGGGCCCAAAAACTAATACAGCAAGAAATCCAGGATTAAACCACATGCATTCGATTCCAAGTGCAAGAGGAATGTGGAGAAAGCAATGGGAGGTAACGGTTAGAGGTGTAGAGGGTCTCACACATGTTTGGGGCATATTTCTTTATGTGCTTAGTATGTTTAAAATGTGTCTGGAGAAAGCACATGCTCTACAGCTCTTGCAAGTTGGCATATAATTTGCTTTTTCCTTTACATTCCACAATGAGAAAAACTCCATCAGCAGCCCCAGTGTGAATGACAGCTTAGTATCCAACAGCCTTTCATACCATGAAAATACTTCCTCACTGAACTCACTGGACTTTCAAGCTGTTTCCGTGGCAGCCGGAACATCTTGCTACATTACTCATCTCCTGTCTGTCCCGCCACTCCCCCGGGCTCCCTGGGCATGAAGCCTTTGCCTTTGGAGCCTTTGGCCTGGTGTTGGCCTGGCCCAGGCCTCTAAGGCTTGTGGGAGCAGATGCCTGGCAGGAGGCATCCCCGGCCGAGTGACAGGATGCTGCAGGGCCTGCAGAATGTCCACCTCGGTCTGGAACAGCCCAGAGGTGTGAGGACACAGGTGCCTGGGGATGTCCACCTCGGTCCAGGTGCGGCCCAGAGGCATGGGGACACAGGTGCCTGGGGATGTCTGGCCACTGAGCTGAGGGCACCCCAGCTCTGCCAACTGTAGCGTTGGGTGGCTGTTCCGCTTCCCCCCTCCCCCCCGGCCTTGGCATCCTACAGAGAAAGTCACCTGCTTCTCTTTTATTTTTGCACAAAGGCCTCCTCTGCCCCTATGGCTCCCCACAGCCCCCAGGCTCTGGGATGCAGCTCCTTGATCCCCACCCCCATGCCTGCCCCCACATACCCGCAGTGGCCTCAGCATTGAAGCTGCCCAAGCAGAAAGCTTATGCCAGAGCATAAGCCCAGGCCTGTGTCAGGGCCTGGAGCAGTTCCGAGCCACCTGGGCTGCAGGCCCCTTGCTTGAAGCCCCACGTCCGTGCTGGTCCTACCAGGACCCACAGGCGAGCCCTGGAAGGTGGGTTCTTTTATTCTGCACGATGGATCTGCTCTACTGAGGCTGGCTGGCACTCCTCAGCCTCCTCTGTGCCCTCCTCCTCTTTTCCTCTCCTCCCTTGGCTTGGGTCATCCCCGAGTTACCATCATAAGGGAACATTGCCGTGGGAGCGAAACCAACGCCTGGCTCGGAGCAGTAGCCTCACCGCGGCCGCCGAGGGTTTCTCTGGCCAGTGTTGCTCCCACCAGTCTACAGCATGGGAAATATCTTCGCAAACTTCTTCAAGGGCCTTTTTGGCAAAAAAGAAATGCGCATTCTCATGGTGGGCCTGGATGCTGCAGGGAAGACCACCATCCTGTACAAACTAAAGCTGGGTGAGATCGTGACCACCATTCCCACCATAGGCTTCAATGTGGAGACCGTGGAGTACAAGAACGTCAGCTTCACCATGTGGGATGTGGGTGGCCAGGACAAGATCCGGCCTCTGTGACGCCACTACTTCCAGAATACACAAGGTCTCATCTTTGTGGTTGACAGCAATGACCGGGAGCGTGTGAATGAGGCCCGTGAGGAGCTCATGAGGATGCTGGCAGAGGATGAGCTCAGGGATGCCGTCCTGCTGGTGTTTGCCAACAAGCAGGACCTCCCGAACGCCATGAATGCAGCTGAGATCACGGACAAGCTGGGGCTGCACTCCCTGCGCCACAGGAACTGGTACATTCAGGCCACCTGTGCCACCAGCGGGGATGGGCTCTATGAGGGACTGGACTGGCTGTCCAATCAGCTCCGGAACCAGAAGTGAGCCGCGCCCCCCTCCCCTCACTCCCTCCTTCCACCCTGCTTTACTCTCATGTGGTGTGAGTGCCAGAAGCTGTCTCCATGGTCCGTCACAGTGTGCTTTACCACGCTGGAAATGTGCAGACGCAGCCTGCAGCCGGGTTTTTATTTAATGTAAATAGTTTTGTGTTCCCAACGAGGCAGTTTCTGGTACTCCTATGCAATATTACTCAGCTTTTTTTATTGTACAAAGAGAATCAACCCACCGTTCAATACTGAGAAGGGATTTAGGCACATGGGGCCTCCGGGAGTCGCTGTGTGGGACCAGCCTGGCACACCTCCTCTGGGCATTAGGTCTATGTTGAGATCCATTTTGGTGGTTGGTTTTTAACCCAAACTCAGTGCATTTTTAAAATCATTACAAATACAAGAAAAGGAGAACACGTGAACCCACAGAAGGGAGATATGTGCCTAGTGTAGGTTCTGCAGTGGCGGCCAGAGTCCAGTCCACCAGTGGGCCATTTCCCGTCGGGAACGTGAGACAGGGCAGAACTAGCCACGGTCCATTCTGCATGGTCACAATAGGGTCCCTGTGATCCCTCTTGTCTCGGGTCATCCTGTATCCCCTAGCATTTGTGCTTGTACTTGTGCTTACACGGCCGCCCAGGAGATGGGCTGGGGGCTGCATCACCGCTCACGGACCCCCTCGGAGGGACCCCGGCCTCCCTGGGGGCAGTGTGGGCACTCTGGCTTCCTCTGGGCTGCCTGGGGTCTCACCAGCAGGAGTGCGGGCGGGCAGGCGAGTCATCCTAGCACCTCAGCCCCGAGTTCAATACACGATTAGTAATCAACTGTTTTGTATACTTGTTTTCAGTTTTCATTTCGACAAACAAGCACTGTAATTATAGCTACTAGAATAAAATCTCTTAACTATTAAAAAAAAAAAAATAAGGGAACATTGCCTGCGCTCCATGCCTGGGAGCCCTGCCTATCACTCTGGGGAAGCCACTGCACACGTGCAAGCCGCGGGGCTGAGCCAAGGGTACCTTGGGTGCTGCAGATCCCCAGGGATGGAGCATTGTTGCCACCCTAGGGAGGCTCACAGTATGGAGGGGGTGGAGACAACTGGACAGGATCTAGGCTGTCCCGTCCCCGTGCTGGTCACTCGGGTCGGGGTGCGCAGCAGCGCCGGGGGACCAGGGAAGCATATGTGAGGTCCGAATGTGCCAGAAGTCTCCACCCAACAGGTGACATTTGACTGGAGTCACGAAAGCAAGAATGAGCCGTGTAGGGAGGGTCAGAGGGGTCCCAGCACAGGACCCAGGACTGGCCAAGCCTGTAAGTGGGACAGACCCCTGAGTGCTCAGAAAGGAGTGAGGGGGTGAGGCTGGGCAGGACGTCGGGGCAGATTCCACAGGTGTTGGCAGCAGGGGCCTGCCATGTGCCCAGCCTTGTGTCCCAGGGAAGAGAAGGAGGAGGGCAGCCGTGGTCACCGTCTCGGTGAGCAGTGAGGATGTGCAGGCGTCGGTGGGCAAGCCTGTCCATCATCTGCCCCGTGGCTTCTATCTTGGCCCACAGAACGGTCCTAGGACTTAGGGGTGAGCCTCAGGGGGCTCAGCTCACACGCGGGGCTCTGGCCAGCTCCGCATGGAGTCGGACTGGCCCTCCTTGCTGGGAACACGTCCCAGGACACAGCTGGTCCCACGTGGACAGGGCTGGTGCTTCAGACGCAGACCCCCGAGGCCAGACGGCTACATGCCTGGTGCGACCACCTGGGAGAGTGTGGCCGTGAACGGCTGTCATCCCTGCTACCGTCCCTGCTACCGTGGAGACCGCGGCCACGACCCCGGCCACCCCACACAGCACCTCTGCCCAGGGCAGGGCTGAGGGGAGCTGGGCCCACGCTCCCTCCTGGTGGGGTTCACACGCACTCTGGGTCCATGTCCCAGCAGCACCGTGGTCCTGGATTGCACCCTCTGACCTCGGGTAGCACCCCCACACCCTGGCTAGCGACGGGCAGCAGCCCCCATCCCCGGGGCAGGCACACAGGGCTGAGGTTCCCCTTCTGTCATTGTCTAGAGCCCACGGTGCTCTTACCACATCCCCGCTGTGGGGCGCACAGCACGCTGTCCCTCCGACCCTGGACGGTAACTCCGATGGGAAGTGTTGCAAGTTCCTGGGGGAGGAAGACACTAACCCCAGAGGCTGAGCAACGGGCATTACAACGAGCCTGACCCAGTTCAAATACTGGTTCTTCCACGCCACCCACCTGTGACCTTGGCACCTTGTTTCATCTACCTGGGTTTCTATCTCCATGTCCTATGGGGACATCATGGGGACTGACACTGAAGGCCTGCGGTCAGGAGGCGATGACCTGACTCGGGTCAGCCAAGTGGCCCACAGAGCTGGACCCACCACATGGAGGCTCCTATGTTGGTCCTTGTGGATACTTCCAGTAGAAGCATGGAGCTCTGGATGGGGGGGATGGCCCTCAGCCCATAGAGACCCTGCACTATTGGGGTCTGTGATGGGGGCCCCACCACCCACGAGGACCCTGCACTATCAGGGTCTGTAAGGTTGACAGGCTGAACAGGCTGGAGTCTCAGCTGCTCCCTGGGAGGGAGGAGGTGCTCATGAGCCTCCTGTGGCCTGTGCAGTGTCTGAAGTTGTGCCCAACACTTTGTACCCTTTTTGGAGGATCCTGAGCTATTCTCCACGGGGCTCAGTACCCAGAGGCCAGGAACCCCTGAGCCACCTGGGCCCTTCCCACTGGGGTATCCCGGGCCAGCCTGGTGCTGACCAGCCTCATCTGGATGGGGTCAGGCCTGGTCAGCGGCCACAGCCCCAGGTGTCTGTGAGTTGGGCAGGACGGGAGAGCCAGCAGGGCAGGGCCCCTGCTGTGGACCCGGCGCCCTTAGCCACACGGACACACAGACACAGACACAGACACACAGAAGGTGGAGCCTTCTCTGTTAACATAGAGGTTCTGCAGCAGGACCAGTGTTCCCTGTGTGCTCACGGCCCCTGCACACCTCATTCTCCCTGCACACAACTGCCCTGGTGGCCAGGGCAGGCCCCAAGCACCTTCCAGGGGAACCCCATTCCTGAGATGACTGGACAGAGGCCTAAAAAGGTCAAGGCACCTGCCAGGGGCATCCAGCCGGCAGCAGCTGAACCCCTTGCCCTCTGCACCCTGAGCCACAGGTGCCCCATGGTGGCTCTCCAGCCCAGGGGCGGAGCTGGAGGGCAGCCCTGCCCCCCACCCCCCCAACGGGGCCCCACCCCCAGCGCCCGGGAGGATCCAACGGGGCTTCCCCCTCTAGAGGCAGGAAGTGGTGGGCGAGGTTTAAACCGCCCAGGAAGGGAAAAGAGCCCCAGGGTGAAGCCTGCGCCCAGCAGGCCTGCCCCCTCCCGCCAGGATGCCACCCACAGGCAGGGGCCTGGCCTCCACACTGAGCAGCTTCTCCCTGTCTCTACAGGCTTCTGGGACTCATCGCTGAACCCCCGGCGAGGCAGTGGGAGCTCCGTGGAGCCCCCGAGGGACCCGGCACCCAGAGCACCCCCGGCCTGCGGCCTCAGGCCCACCGCCCGGTCCGGGAACTGCTCGTGTGAAATCGAGCTGTCCGGAGGAAACGACCGCCTGTGGTTTGTGAATCCCATCTTCATCGAGGACTGTGGTGGCGGCGGTGCCCTGCCTGCCGCCCCGCCGACCCCCGGAAGCTGCCCCACACGCTCGCTGCCCCCCACCTCCTGCACTACCTCACCCACCTCTAAGTGGGCCCCGCGCCGCCCGGCACCCCCTCCCCCGGCGCCCCCTCCCCCAGCCCCCCCTCTGCAGCCCAGCGGCCCCCAGCGGCCCCCTCCACCCCCAGCTCTGGTTCCCGCTTGTCCTTTGCCCAGTTCCCCCCCAGCAGCTGCTCCCCCACCTCCAGAGGCCCTTCCTCCCACACCCCCGGCATCTGCCCCCCACCTTGCCCCCCATGCCCCAGGCCCCCCAGACCTTCCAAGCCAAGCGCCCATGGCAGCCTGCGAGAGGCTCTCACGGCCCCCGACAGGCCTGGGGCCCCTCAGGGAGGAAGAGATGAAGCCTGGGCCGGCCCCCGGCCCCTTGCCGCAGCCCCCTGCCCCTCTTATCCCCGTGAAGAACCTCCCCGCTGCACCGCCCAGACGCCGCATCTCTGAGAAGGTCTCCCTGGAGGACCAGGCTGCTGGGAGGGTGGACAGGACGCTGCCTGCCATGGGGGAGCAGCCGGGGCTTCCCAGGGCTCCCGTGCTCAACCCTCCTCCCCCGGGGACATCGGAGCAAGGTCAGGAAGCGGTGGCCCGAGCTTGTGACCCGGGGAGTGTGCCAGAGCCACCGAGGAAGGTCCGGCAGCCCCCAGTCCCGCCCCCCAGGAGGAAACGGATCTCCCGGCAGCTGGCCTCGGGCCTTCCCAGTCCTGTGGAGAGCACCGAGTCCTCCTCCGTGAAGGACGAGGCCCCCCAGAAACCCACACCGGGTGCGCCCGGGGAAGGCCGTGGCCCTGCGTCCTGTGCGAGGACTCAGAGCCCACAGGCCCAGGCCGGCAGCCGGCCCCAGAGCTCTGCAGAGTTCAAGGGCTCCCTGGCCTCCCTGTCCGACAGCCTGGGAGCGTCGGCCTTGGCCGCGGACCAGGATTCCTACTCCACCAGCAGCACGGAGGAGGAGCCCGAGCACCTGGGCGGTGCTGGCAAGAAGAAGCCCTCCGTGATCCTGGGCAAGGCGCGGCACCGCCTGAGCTTCGTCAGTTTCACCAACGTGTTCCACGCGTTCCTGTCCAATGACCGTAAGCTGTACAAGAAGGTGGTGGAGCTGGCGCAGGACAAGGCCTCATACTTCGGCAACCTGGTGCAGGACTACAAGGTGTACAGCCTGGAGATGATGGCACGCCAGACCTCCAGCACGGAGATGCTGCAGGAGATCCGCACCATGATGACACAACTCAAGAGCTACCTGCTGCAGAGCACCGAGCTCAAGGCCCTGGTGGACCCCGCCCTACACCCTGAAGAGGAGCTAGGTCAGTCCTGGGTGCACTGGGTGGGGACAGGAGCGGGGCATCCTCCTGGGCACTCAGCCTTGCCAGGAGCCACTCCCTCTGTGGTCCGGCCTCTTTCTCCAAGTCCTGCCCCAGTACCACTTAGATGGTGGAAGGATGTGAGCCGAGCAAGGCTGTGGGCCCCCACCCCTGTCCCCACCTGCCCAGGGCGCTGCAGCTTCATTAGGGACCCGCATGCAAGGAGCAGTGAGAGGCAGAGGAAGGACTAACATGTGTGGCCGCTGAGGGTCAGGCCCGGCCTGTGGGTCCTGTGGGTCTGGGAGGCACCAGCACCCAGAAGCCCCCTTGCCCTGTGCATGAGGACTCAGCCAAGGTCACAGCAGAGCCAGAGGCTCAGGGACGGCGAGCACAGAGCCCTGCCAGGGGTCACCACAGCTCTGGCCGCAGAGGCTCCTAGGGCAGCAGGGTCAGGACGCTGGCCTGGATGGATGGGCAGGAGCAGGCTCAGGGCTTGAGGCAGCCACTTGTGCCCTGCTGTTGAGGCTGGAGACGCACACGGGGAGGATAAGGACTTGGGGCAGTGGCAAGGCCGGCCCCAGGCCAGCACAGAGGGAAGACCCAGCCCCCCGGGGAAGGGGGAGGAGCCACAGAGGCTTCCCAGGACTTTCCGTGCTGTCCACCAAGGCCCCGAGGATCACCGTGCATCAGTAGGTGGGTGCAGACCCTGGCTCAGCCCCTCTACCTGTGACCCCACCATCAGAGCCATAGTCGGTCTGTCTGTACACGGGCATCCGGGGCGTGTATGTGGCACGGTTGCTGTGAGATCAAAGTCGAGTCAGTCGCATTCCACTCGTGGATCAGGATGCCTCTCGGAAAAGATGACATTTGAACAGTGAAGGGAAAAGTCATGTCTGTAGTTGTGCAGTGGCTTCCCCGGGCTAAGGGAATAGCAGATGCAAAGGCCCTGAGGCAGGAGCAGGCTTGGCCGGGCAGCAGAGGCCAGGGTGGCTGGAGCAGCATGAACGCAGGGGAGCAGGCCAGTGATAAGTGAACACAGCTTATGGGGTGGGGGCTGACAAGCTGTGGGCAGACTCTGGCTTCTGCTGTGCACAACATGGGGGGCCTGGAAAGCCACACCAGACCCTGTGAAGCATTGGGATACCAAGCACCGGGCCCCGAAGGCTTGTGAGCCGTGTCTGTGCCGTGTGCTTTGTGCGGCAGTACCTCCCTGCCACAGGTGCTGGGCACACCACGCTGGGTGCGCAGCGTGGCCTCGGGCGGTGGGGTGGCATGCCCTGCAGGGCACGGAAACCTGGGGCGTCCCGGCTGCGGGGTCCTTCACGCTCCCCTCTTGCCCCACAGAGGCCATCGTGGAGTCGGCCTTGTATAAGTGTGTGCTGAAGCCCCTGAAGGAGGCCATCAACACATGCCTGCGGGAGATCCACAGCAAGGACGGCTCCCTGCAGCAGCTCAAGGAGAACCAGCTGGTGGTCCTGGCCACCACCACCACGGACCTGGGCGTGACCACCAGCGTGCCTGAGGCGCCCGTCATGGAGAAGATCCTGCAGAAGTTCACCAGCATGCACAAGGCCTACTCGCCCGAGAAGAAGATCGCCATCCTGCTCAAGACCTGTAAGCTCATCTATGACTCCATGGCCCTCGGCAACCCAGGTAGGCAGCAGCCGGGGAGCTGCGGTGACCCTCAAGCACTACAGGGCTTCGGGAGTGCACAGGGAAGCCCTTGGGTGTCCAAGGCCTGTTGGGGTGGGAGTCCTGCACACTGGCGAGGGCTACCTGGGGGTCAGGAGGGTGGCAATTGGCCGCCGCGCTGCAGGAGGCAGGGAGGCCCCATGTACTGCACACGTGTGCCGATCTGATGAGGACAAGATGCTCTGTGGGTGCCCTGGGGCCGCAACCAAGACCTCCTTGCCGGGCGCCTGACACACACGCGTTGCTCGTCTCACAGTCTGGAGGCTGGAAGTCTGAGGCCAAGGAGTTGCGGTGTCACACTCCCCCTGGAACTTGAGGCACGGATGCATTCCAGGCGTCTCCCAGCTTCTTGTAGCTCCTCGGCTGGCCGCCGTTCTCCCTGCACACACACACCTGTGTCCAAACTTCCACGTTTTATTAGGACATTAGGGGTCATCCCTCCTTCGCTGTGACCTCATCCAAGCTGATGTCATTCACATTCCCAAAAACTGAGGGTTAGGACTTGTGAATTCCAGAGGGGACACCATGCAGCACACGACAGCTGCGTACATCCGTCACATGTAGGCTTGGCAGCAGCCGGTTGGGATAGGCACATGGGCCGTCGGCCCGGGGTGCAGGTCTGGAGGCTGGCTGGCCAGGATGGCCTCGCTCAGATGTGGGGCAGTTGCTGGGCAGTTGACCGGCCAGGAATGCAGGCTCCTGGGCCGCACATTTCTGTCTCTGTGGCAGGTGGGCCTGGGCTGGACTGTGGCTGCTGTCGGGTCGCCTGGGAGCAAGGCCTGGCAGGGGTCTCAGGCCCGGGGCATGACAGGCATGATGCCACCCCGACCTTGGCACTGACATGCTGGCTCATGGGGCAGCGCAGAGCCACGGGGCTTGGTGGGAGGAGCTGCAGACGTTGTGTGGGCCCAGATGGAGGGAGCAAAGTCACGGGGGCTGTGTCGTATCGGTTTAACCAGGGCATCCCTCTAGACAGGCAAGAACAGGCTGCACCATGGTCACCCCTTAGTGAGCAGAGGATCAGAGGTTCCGACCCATGATCACCCCGGTGGCTGGATGCCCTTGTTTAGTGAGCAACCTGCGTGAGTTTACCTGGTCAGGAGGAGAAGGATGGCAACCTCTGTCACCACACAGACTTGGATTTAAATTCTTGCTCTGTCGCTTACTCTGTGTGACCCTGAATGATCTGCTTAACCCCTTGACATGTCATTTCCACATGAAGGAAGACGTGTCACACAGGGGACACTGGGGAGTGTCATGAGAAGCTGTGCTCAGTCACTTGTGAATATCAGAAGGGATGTATGTAAAATGTCAGCCTTGGTGCCCAGGACGCCACAGGCTCCAGCCATGGCTGCTGTCTTAGGACAGGGCTCTCTCCATCTGGCCATGGGCCAGCAAGGGTGGCGCAGGGTCCCCTCGCCCAGGAGAGCTCCCGCACAGCCAGGTCCCAGCCCTGTCCCAGGTTGGAGTCACTCGTCTGAGGTAAACTAACCTGGGTCCAACTGCGGTCCGAGGATGCACATTGTTCCCTGAAATCAGGTGCTGCGCTCAGAACTTCCAGCTGCTGCATAGGCCTGACGTGGATCAGACAGTGAGGTGCACGTCCTGGTGTCATGGGGTGGGCGTCAGGCCGTGGACCCGCCGTCTTATGCACGTGGGACCCCAGAGGGCAGTGAAGCTTGTGAACTAGCAACAACTTCCAATGTGTAGATTTTTCCCTAAAAGTCCCCAGGGCGGTAAGAGGAGGGGCTCAAGCAGCCTGTAGAAGGCCAGCATGCCCAGTCCCAGAGGTGGCACGTCTCACCACAGCAGCGTGACGCTCAGGGCTGACACCCCATTGTGGCCGGTGGCAAAGGGCTGGCCAGGACCTCTTGGAAGTCCTCAGAGCAAGGCAGCCCAGATGGGCAGAACGGAAGAGGGGGCCGGGGGCATCTGCAGGGTGCAGAGAGGGAGCGGCAGTGCAGCTGGATGGCCCCAGAGTGGACACAGAACCTCCCAGGGAGAATGGACAGGCTGGCCTGGGACCTCGGAGGGACGTGGAAGAGACAGGTGCAGGCCTCCTTCCCAGCCCTGACTGTATTCCGGGTTCTGAGGTGCTTGGAGCCTCAGTTTCCCCCTGGGGTAAGCAGGCACAGCCATACGCCTCATGGGGCTGCTGTGACAGTGAATGCAGTCTGCAAATCTGCATCTAGCCCAGAGGCTGGTGCTTAATCAGCACAGTCACCGTCCCTATCAGAACCTCCAATTCGGAGAATCTTTTCCTCTTAGGCAGTGCCAAGTCTTGGGGTAAAATCAGGTCAAAGGGCTCTGTGGGCCCTGAGACCTTATCAGAGACATGGTTTGGGGCCTGAAGAGGGCATTCTCGGTGGCCCTAGTTGGCTCAGGAAGCCTTGGGCTTCCTGCAATTACATTTTTTTTTTTAAGATTTATTTATTTCCTTGAGAGAGAGTACATGCCTGTGAGTCTGGCAGGGGCGGGGAGGGGGAGACAGCCATCAGGGTGACTCTGCGCTGAGTGTGGAGCCCACGCGGGCTCGGCCGCACCCCGAGGCCATGCCCGGAGCCGGACCCACGAGGCGGACGGTTAACCCACTGGGCCACCCGGGCGCCCCCACGGTGCTTTTACACATCATGTCTGAGCAGTGGCTTCAGCTGCCAGGATGCTTGGGACCGGAGCGGACTTACTGAAAACCTCCACCTCCGGGAGAGCAGGGAGCCGGGAGGGAGCGGCTGGTCTTGAGGGAGCGGATGAGCCCACACAAAGCCCAGGAAGGGACAGAGGCTCACGGGGGCAGCAGAGGCCCAGGGCCTCACGGAGGACGGAGGACGGCAGGACTCTGCTGGTTGACACGCAGCAGCGGCCACGGGCAAGGAAACGGCCAGGCATTCAGGCCAGGCCAGGCCAGGGCTCGGGCCAAGGGCTCCCCCACCCCCCCACCGGAGCAAATGCGTGTTCCCCTCCCATGGCGGAAGGAGCCCCAGGGCTTCCAAGCCACCCCCCTTCCTGCCTAGCCTCCGCTCCTTCTTCTGAGGGTCAGAGGCTCCCGCCAAGGGGAGCAGGGCTGTGGGCCGTGGGAACCTGAGCTTCGGAGGTGCCGCCACTGTCATGACTCACGGGTCCTCCGCAGAAGTGTAGGGTGCGGGTGGTCAGGCTGCCGTGCAGGACGCAGGACTCGGGAGGGCTCAGGCTGGAGGCAGACATGCCGCCTGGCCTGGGCCCTGCGGGGTCTCACCTCCCAAATCTGGTCCTCTCACTTCCGCTTCCGACGTGGGCCTGCGAGCGCATCGGGATCCAGACCGCGTAGGGCATCAGGTGCAGCCAAGAGCACGTGTGTGTCCGACACGTGTGAGTGCAGGAAGGGCTGCCTTGCCGCCACTCAGCAGCTTCCATGCTGGGTCCCCGGAGGTACCCCGAGGCCGCCCAAGGGGCATGGTGCCGGTGGGGCCACAGCCCGGCTCGTCCCCATCCTCCACGTGGAGTTCCACGTGGGATCTTATTTGAAATGACCAGTTCTGCTGCTTGATATTCTAGCTTTTAATTAATTGATTAATTAATTAGTAGAAAGGGGTGGGGGAAGGGCCAGGACAGGGAAAGAGACAGAATCTAAAACAGGCTCCACACCCAGCTCAGGGCTCGATCTCACAACCCCAAAATCACAGCCTGAGCCAGAACCAAGAGTCGGATGCTCAACCGACTGAGCCTCCCGGGTGCCCCATAAGTATTTTAGCTTTTAAACCTTCCAGGGCACCTGGGTGGCTCAGCAGGTGAGCGTCTGCCTTCAGCTCAGGTCGTGACCCCGGGGTCCTGGGATCCAGTCCCACATCAGGCTCCCTGCATGGACCCTGCTTCTCCCTCTGCCAATGCCTCTGCCTCTCTCTGTGTGTCTCTCATGAATAAATAAATAAAATCTTTTATTTTTTTTAACTTTATTTATTTATTTATTTATTTATTTATTTATTTATTTATTCATGATAGACATAGAAAGAGAGAGAGGCAGAGACACAGGCAGAGGGAGAAGCAGGCTCCATGCCGGGAGCCCGAAGCGGGACTCAATCCTGGGACTCCAGGATCATGCCCTGGGCCAAAGGCAGGCGCCAAACCGCTGAGCCACCCAGGGAATCCCCTAAATAAATAAAATCTTTTTAAAAATAAAAATAAACCTTCCATTTGTAAATGACTTCAACTTCACAGACATTAGGAATGGAAACACTACCTTAGAATGGGGACGTCGCCTGCCCTCTGTGGGTTTTCAGTACCTTATTTCATTGGCTTTATCACCGACACACTCTTTGGTGCACACATGATGTCTTTCCTGGGCCGTCTGAGCATGAGTGGCCTATGTCTAGGCCCTTTACCCCTAAATGCTGTTCTCAGAGTCGAGCTATTCTCTCTCATGCCCATGGTGACATCATCGGCTCTGTAAATTCACATCCATGCAACAATTTACCTGAGGCACCATGTACCTGGGGGTCGCTGGAGTACACCAGGCCCTTCCCGACCTTTCCTCCTCCCGTTGGGGAAACAGGTGAGGGGCAGGTGTGGCCACTAGTTGTGGGGTGTCCTTTAGCTGGGGACACTGACGTCCTGTAGGAATACAGATTTCCCACCCCACCCCCCACCTTTGGTTCTTTCTATTGAAAGTTCCTCATTTTGTGTTTGTGAGACGTTTCCTGGTGATTAGATTGAGGTTATGAGTTTTCAGCTCCATCCCGATGACTGTCAGACTCCCTCTGGCTTCGATCTGGGGGATCTCAGGACCAGGCCCTGTACCCCAGGCATTCCACTCGCCCCTCCCTTTGGCCAGAGGCTTCCCGCAACTTGCTGCGCAGAGTGTGGTCTGTGGACCAGCCACCCTGCATGGAAGCCCAGAGCTGCCAGCCACCCAGGGAGGGCCCTGCCTGCCGCAGCACTGACCCAAAGCAGCCGGCGGGCCTCCCTTTGCACTGCAGCCCCACCCCCAGGAGCCCTGTGACCTGTGTGCCTCCAGGCACCACATGATGCCACAGAAGTAGCCTGCGGGGTCCCCAAGGCCTGGCTGCTGGCCAAGCCTGCAAGGGCCATAAGAAGATGCCTCAGCGCAAGGCGCGGGCCCAAGTCAACAGGCTGGACTGTCCTTCCCAGAGGGGTGGTTGCTCCTTGTGCCCAGGATACAGAAGGGCCAGGATTCGGGGCCAGGATTCGGAGCCAGAATCTTACTGCAAAGCCTGTGCGTTTACAACCGTGCCCAGCGGCCAGCCCAAGACAGACCTCAGGGCACTCGAGTGCTGCCCCCCCCACAGCAGCAAGGCTAGGGCAGAGCAGCAAGGTTGGGCAGAGCGGGGGTTTGCCGAGGTCAATGGCTTTTGGTAAGCATGGCCCCCCGTCCCACAAGTGGCCGCCTTCGTGGGTTGCCCATGGGCTTCCTGAGGCCTAGTGAGGGCAGCGAGAACTTCTAGAACTGTTTCTCCTGTCGCTTTCATAAGCCAGTTACTTTCACCTTCCCCAAGTCTAAGAACAGACCTTCAGGGCTGGCCCTGCTGTTGGGGACAAACAGAGGCAAGACTGGGCCCCGCCCTACACTGCAGGAGGAAGGAAGGACAAGTGTGGTGCCTGTACACACGAGGTCCTTTCTCAAGAACCTTCTTTCGATACAGAGCAGGCAATGGGAGGGAGCAGTGAGGGCCCGGAGGCCCCACAGACAGCGATCAGACACGAGGCCCTGGAGCCCCTTGGGGAGCCCTCGCCGTTGTCTCCTGGCAGCCACCACAGAGCCAGAGGGGAGTCTGCAGCTGCTGCAGGTGGGGCCTGAGGATGGAAGCCAGAGCCCGAGGAGCCTGAGACAGGGACCAGGGCATGAGAACTGACAGGAAAGTCAGCCTGTTTTTTTTTTTTTTAAATCTCTGTTAAAAAAAATATCTGATTTCTGATGACAGAAGTCAGTATTGTGTGTGGTTTATTTTTTAAAGATTTTATTTATTAATTCATGAGAGACAGAGTCAGAGACACAGGCAGAGGGAGAAGCAGGCTCCCTGTAGGGAGCTCGATATGGGGCTCGATCCCGGGACTCCAGGATCACACCCTGAGACGAAGACAGATGCTCAACTGCTGAGCCACCTTGGGATACCTGGAAGTCAATAATGTTTATTATTGAAAAAGGCAATTAGTGTTTTGGTGGGTTTGTTTCTGGCCTTTTTAGAAGAGCCATAGATGGGTAGGTAAGTCGACAATTAGTTGAGGAAAAAGGCTTGCTGCTCTGACAGGTAAACCCTGCAGTGTCATCCGGCAAGAGCTCATTTCTCACTCGTAGCCCAGGTGAACGGAGGAGGGCGAGGCTGGGCATGGGCTGTGCTCCATGTGGTCATCCAGGGATCTAGGCAGAGGGAGGTTTCATGAACCCTCCTGGGCAGAGAGAGGGAGAGACAGAGAGAAAGTAAGGGTCAGGCTGGAAGCAAAACATAACCTTGATTTTTTTTTTTTAAGATTTATTTATTTATTTGAGAGAGAGAGCACGCACAGGCGGGGGGGACAGACAGAGGTGGAGGGAATCCCAAGCAGACTCCCTGCTGAGCATGGAGCCCAACATGAGGCTGGATCTCACGACCCTGAGACCATGACCAGAGCCAACAGCAAGAGTCAGACGTTTAACTGACAGAGCCCCCCAGGTGCCCTGATATCCTTGCTTCCAAACCCCCCACCAGGAGGGGGGTTCAGGCCCCCTGGGATGGTGTGCTCTGAGCAGGAGGAGCCACACGGACATCCTGGGCTGTGTCACAGCATGTCTGACGTCACTCACATGTGGGAACCCAGCAGACTCCATGTTCATCTCTTTCTGTCCAGTCACTGAACCCTCCCCACACATCCCTGGGGGCACTACTGTTGCCCCCATTTTAGAGTTGAGCATGCTGGGGCACTGTGAGGCGGGGCGGCCACGTCAGGGTCACACCCGAGCCAGCGAGTGCTTAGAGCTGGGACTGGAATCTGGGGCCCCGTGCTGATCCACGGCCTCCCTGGGGTGTCCGGGGGCAGAGGCGACCTCAGGGAGGGCAGGCCTGAGTCACAGGCGGCCTCACCCTCCTCCAGCCGGGCTGGACTCTGGGCTGCAGGCTCCGAACCCGCAGCCGTGTGGCTGTGCCGGCTGGTGGGCTGGGCTCCCCAAAGAGGAACCTGCTGTGCCGGAGTGATTACAGGGATGGGTGTTGCTCAAAGCAGAAGTGACGCGCAGGCAGCGTCTGCAGAGAAGCCCGCAGGGTGGTGAGGGGGCCCGTGGGCGGAGGGCTGGCTGCTCACCTCAAGCCAGGAGGCCTCCAGCCGCCCACCGTCCCTGCTGCTGCCCTGCTGCTGCCCAGACTCCGGCTCTGACCCCGGGCTTTCTCAGCCGCTGCAGAGCACTCTCAGGGCGCCTGGGGCATGGCGGAGGGGGGGCGTGCCATGGGGGGCAGCGGGGAAGCCAGGCCATGGGGCAACCCCCGCCCCCCCGCCGTCAGAGGCATCCACTAGAAAAGGATGTTGAAAACCCCCCTCAGACTCTCCCTACTTCCTGCTGGCCTGTGCTTTCATCAAATGCGTCCGTTCAACAGTCCCCACTGACCTCTCTTGATGACATGCCTGTTACCAGGAAAACCCCGTCCTTTCTTATGAGGGCCACAAATTCAAGCGGGAAACGGAGCAGGAGACAAGGGACGGTCATGCTGTGTGGCAAACCACATGCACGCATTCACTTGGCGGATACATCTATTGAACACCGACTGTGTCCCGGGCACTAGGCCAGCACCGCCCACGAACGGTGCCCCCAATGGGCCTCTGCCCTCATCAAGCTTTCATTCCGGGGAGGAGAGGCGGGTAATAAATCAGGAGGCAGAAGGACGAACCGTGTCCTCAGGTGCCCAAACCCGCCAGCAGACTGGCTGAGGCCGACGGGGTGAAGGGCTGGGAGGCGTTGGGAGCTTGCTGTCTGCGTTAGGAGGCCGGGGAGGCGTCCGTGGGTCAGTGGAAAGCATCTGTGTTTCCACTCCACAGAGACGGGGTGGGGGAAACCCATGATCAGGGCATCCACCCGGCTGGCAGAGGTGGGTCCTCGGGTCACACTTCCTGGAGAAAGGGAGTGGCTTTTGGTGGGCAGCATGGTGGAGGGCAAGAGCCAAAGCCCGTCAGGTCGGGAGCCTTGTCTACCCCAGGACTGTTGCATCAGCCGCTGCATTCACCAAGAGCCCTGTGAATGGATTGGGAGGGGCGGTTACAGCTAGAGCCTTCACCTGGATTGGGGTCTGCAGACGAAGGCCTGGGGTCAGCTCTGGCCTCCAACTTGAGTCTGTAAATAAACCCATGGGAATAGTCCTACCCACTCTCGGACGTGGCGTCTGCTTTCACGGCAAACCCCTAGCAGAGTACTTGGGCCTCAGGGAACAATTACCATCTCGCCCTTTATAGGAACCTTGGCCAGCTCCCCTCTTCCTAATGACAAAGCCTAATGTTTCAGCCATCCGCAGGCTATGCCCACTGCACCCCACAGTGACCGCCTGAGGCAGGCTCACCACTCTTCCCAGTTTTCAGGCAAGCACACTGGGGCTGGGAGCGCATGGCCCCAGGCCACGGAGCTGGAAGAGTAGGGGGCTTCCTAGTGCTGGCTCCTTGCTGCAGCGTGACCCCGGTGAACAGGCTCAGCCCCTTTTACCAGAACTCTCCTCCCAGACCTGCTGGCCAGTGAAACAGGCACAGGGGCACCAGCTCTTGGGAGAGTTTGCCCCGGACCCCCGACCTCCAGGTGGAAAACAGACAGGACTTAGGCCAACAGGAAGGCAGGATGCACAGGATCCAGGGGGCTTTCCCCTACAGCCTGGCGGCCACAGTCCCCACTGCCCACAAGCCATGTCCTGAGCCAGGAGGGCCATCCTGGACCGTCCGCAGCATCCCCAACACGCCGCACACAAGGCTCAGCTCCTGCCGTGGCTCCCCGGCCCTGGGAGGGAGAATGCCACCCTAGCTCCCCCTGCCATGTTGGGGAGGAGGCGGTGCAGCTCTCCCTGCCATGTCGGGGAGGACCCAGTGCCCCCAAGTAATGCTTGAAGCTTCTGTTTGCCCCCACCTCTTGGGTCAGAGCGCCTATGCGGGCATCTCCCACCTCATCAGGGACAGGAGCCTGGGTGCCCATCACAGCTCCACTGCTGTGCCTCGAGTTGCGGGGCTTTGAGTGAACTTCTCTGGACCTTGGTTTGCTTGCAGCGAGCTGGGCTTTGGTGGTTCCAGGGCCACTGGTGTGCTGAGTCAGGAGGACCAATCATGCTGCTCCTCTCTGCCCCGTGTTCACATGGGAGCTTGACATGAGCCCCTGTGGAAACACTGACACACAGACATGGGCCAACTGCAAATCAGGGCTTGTGTTCTTTTCGGGAGAGCCAGTTGTTGGGCATTCCCAGCACACTGCTGTCTTAAGACCCGCAGCGGATCCTAATCTCCTTGACCGCGGCCCCAGCCCTGACAGGACAGCATGGGAGCCAGTGGGGACAGTGTGTGGCTCCGTTTAGCCCACGGTCTGCGTGTGACACCCCAGGCCCTGTGCTGGGGCCTAGAGAGGCTCGGAGAGGCTAAGAGGCTTGGCCCAGCTTACCTGGCAGCTCACAGCCCAAGGGAAAGACCGGCTCTTCGATAGTCCCGGTGTCTGGAAGCTGGAGCAGGTAAGGGAAAGCAGAGGGGTGGTGGTGGAGGTGTGCAGAAGGAACTGGGTGAGCAGGCAGAAGGAATGAAAGTACCCTTGGGGTGCCAGGGATGGCTTGCGATTCAGCACCGGCCAACGTATGTGGGAAGGTGACAAAGGCCGAGTGTCATCCTGAGCGGAAGTTGGCAAGTAGAGTGTAGAGTAAGCACCAGGAGCTGGACAGCCCAGAGGGCTTCCTTAAGGAGGTGGGACTGGGGAGAGGAATGTTGAAGCAGCAGGGGCAGGGGATTGCAGGTAAAGAACGGTTCGACCCCATTCGTGGCCAACCACATCCTAGCCATGTGACCTGAGCCAAAGGGCTACCCGCTCCTCGTCTCGTGAGGGGAGTCCAACCTGCCTCACAGAGCTGCCTGAGGAATTCATGGATGGAGAGGACCCCACGAGCACTGGTGCCAGGTGGGACGCCAGGTGGGATGCCGGGTGGGACGCAGAAGGAAGGCTCAGGCCTGCGGGGTGTGAGGAGAAGCACACCAGGTGGGTGACTGTGGTAGGAGCCTGGGGCTGGGATGCAGGTGACCCATGCTCAGTCCATCAGCTGGACAGCGTGGCCGGAAGGCAGTCGAGTCCATCGTGTTGGACACATGTTTATGGGCCTGACATGGAAGGCCTTGAACTCAGGCCAACAGGTGTGCACTTCATTCTCCCAGCTGTAGGGACCCTGATGGTTCTTGAGAAGAGAAGTGACCATAGGCTCAGGGGACAAGTCAGGGGACGGTGGGTCCAAGGACAGAGACCCTGCTAGGAGGGCAGGCTTGGGGGAGCAGGGCTGGAAAAAGCAAAGGGTGAGTGAGTGCAGGAAGCAGCCAGAGGAGGATTCACTGGGGCTCTGGCCACAGGCAGCCGAGGGCCCTAGGGGAAGGGGATCCTCCCAGGCCGGGGGCAGGGGGCTCCTTGACAGAAGTGGGAAGGTCCCCAGCAAGGGCTGGTGTCCGGGAAATGCTGAAACACTGGGCTGGGGTCTGGTGCAGGGGGACTCATGGGGTCTGTGTAGGGGTCGCCTGGGGCTGGGAACCTGGCTGGGAGCTTGGTGTCCTGCTCATCTTTGCTATGCCCCACGCTGTGACCTGGGGACGCAAGGAAGGGGTGCTCATGGGTGGTCCGAGGTGCGACCCAAGGAGAGGGGCCCCAGAGCCCATCCTGAGCGTTGACCGTGGCTCCCAGGAAGTACACAAGGGGAGGAACAAGCAATAACTTTGCTTCCCCACAGGGCTCAGGGCCACAGTCCAGGGGCCTCCGAGCCCCAACCAGAACCGGGGCCAGACCATCCTTCTTGCTGAAAGTTGCTGTCCCCTCAAGCCGGGCTTCTTGTGCTTAGAACTGCAGACATGGGGGCTGCAGAAACTGGTACGATGAGAGGCTGTCCTGGCATTGTGGGACCCTCAGCAGCAGCCCTGGCCTTGGTGCCAGTTGCACCTCACGGGCTGTAGTGTGGCAAGCGAAAAGCGACTCCAGATGCTGCCCGATGACCCCTGAAGGGCAGTGTCACCCTGGCAGAGAGACACTGCCCAACAGCATGTCAGCCTTTGTCCGATTGTGTTCCTTGGTGAGTCATGAACAGAATACCAGGGACAGATTGGTGATCCAAGGGGCCCAGGGACCATCATGAGCTCCGGGCCAGCGTGAGATCGAGGTTCCCACAGGCACAGGATGTGTCACCTCAGTTCCTGGCTCATAGCACAGATGGCACAGGACTTTCCTGGGCGCCAGGATTCTCATAACTAAATGGTCCACATGAGAAACATCTTGCAGCACAACCCCCCCTACCCCCCAGCCCCGGGAACCCTGCAGTCGTGGTTCAGGTTTAATAAAGGTTCAGGGGAAAGCTTGCTTTCTCCAAAACAAACTTGTCCTGTGCAGGGAGGGGACCGGGACCCGAAACAAATAACCAGAGAGCCTCAGAACGCAGAGTGGGAATGGGAGGAATGGAGGTTTCTGAGCAGGCATTTTCCATGGGAGCATGGGGGGCAGCCTGTGTAAATCTGCGTGTGGGGATCTCACCAAAATCCCATAGCATGTCCTGTGACCAGTGTCGCATCATGCATGACCAGAAATACAGGCTCAGAGAGGTGAAGCGACAAGTCTGAGGTCACACAGTGGGTACGAAGTATGCGGAGGCTGGCTCTCTGGGTCCAACCTGCTTCCTGGTGCTGTGCGTTACCAATTCCTGCAACCTGCATATCTCACGGGTAGGAAAACTGAGGCCACTTGAGAAAACAGAACAGAGATGTTAGTCATAGCTTCTGTTTCCGTAGCAGTTTTTGCAAGTCCTGAACCCTTATATTTTCTCATCTTGTCTTGAAAACCCCAAGAGGCCATGAGGGTTGGTGTTCGCTGGCCCCCATTTGCAGATGTAGGGGCTGAGTGCTGGCCAGGAAGCAGGCCACCGGGCACACTTCCCTGCAAAACCGACCTAGGAGGAATTGTGGGCAAGAGGGCACCCCCCCAACCCCGGGTGGACATTATCGGAGCGGCGCCAGTGCTGGACGGGGTGGGCCGTGCAGATGCAGGAGCCAGTACGGGCCTGGCCGGGTTGGGGAGGCATGGATGTGCTGCTGCTCGATTGTGCCCTCAGGGTGGGGCCCAGGGCCCCCAATGGCCCCAGCCTGGCCAGGCTGGGCAAGGGGGCAGAACGCCTCCGGAGGGGCTGCTGATCAATACCGAGCTCTCCCACTCCTTTCAAAACCTCCTTCCCACTGTTTCCTTCACTGGCCTCCTTCTGGTCCCCACTGGATCCCAGAAAAATCAGATTTTACTACCTGGGTGGGTAACACTCAAGGAACAGTGTGGTTAATAAGAGGGTTTGGATGGGTGGATGGATGGGTGGACGGATGGGTGGACGGGTGGATGGGTGGACAGAGGGAGGGATGGGTGGACGGATGGGTGGATGGGTGGATGGATGGGTGGATGGATGGGTGGATGGATGGAAGGATGAATGGATGGATGGGTGGATGGGTAGAGGGATGGGTGGGTGGATGGGTGAGTGAGTGAATGACCAGGTGGGCCATGGCCGAGCCATGCTGACCACTTACTGGGATCTGCAGCCCACGTTCCGCAGAAGTTAGGACGCAGCCCAGCCTGGTGGGCTTCTGTGCCTCTCTCATCCCTTCCTCCCCCTCAGGGCTCTTTCCCCTGAAGGGGCCAATTTCTCGTCATTGTTACAAGGACCACAGGGGAACATGCATGATGACCTATGAAATTCGCCTCCCTGTCTCCCCCCTGGAGACACTCACCCTGATCTGTGTCCTGAGGCAAGGAAGTGAAAATCACTAAGTGAACTTTGCCCCCATGTGTGCGAAGGAACTTGTCGATTGTACGCCTCACGTAGGAAGTGAAGCCACATGGTTAATGTTGGTGTCAGCCCTAAGCCTTGAGCAAACGACTTGGTGCCTCTGAGAAACTGGTGTTTTCTTCTTATGGACAATGAGAAGAAGGTAATGACCATTTTCCTCTTCACTTTGGCCACCAGGAGACTCAAAGCCAAACGCTCCCTCCTGAGGGAGCCATCATTCGGGTCCTGCCTTATCTGTTTTATTTTTCCGCCGGCATAGGGGCCTTCTTATAACTTTGTGATCATCTCTCTTTCCCACTGTTTCCTTCACTCATATCTTTCTGGTCCCCACCAGAATCCACAAAAATCACATCTTACGTTTTTATTCAGATTTTACTGTTTTATTACGCGCTTCCTGAGGCTCACCTAAATCCTTTGTAAAAATGTGTCAAGTACAAATCTGAAAAAGCTGTGATTGCTCGGCATGTATTTGGACCCATTATTCATCTCCCCCAAGATGCAAGGGGCAGCAGTCATGGATCCTTCTGTGCTATTCCTTCTGTTACCTCCAGCGGAGTCTGGGGAGCTTTGTCTGAGCCCTGAACCCCCTTAGGTAGGAGGAAGTGAGAAGATGGGCTGGTGACCCCACAGGACCTTCCCCACCACCACCCCGTGCACAGCTGCTCAGCCGACTTTCCTGCTCCCCAGAGTCTCGGGCATGCAGGTGTCCCCTGGGGGACTGCAGGGCATCCCGTCCTTGGAGGACTTCTTCCTTCTGCAGGGAGACTTTGATTTGATGATGCCAAACCATCTGTCCTTAGAGCCAGCGGGACCCGTGCTGGGAGACTCCCCAGAGTCTCGGGCCTGCTGTTCACCCCATGTCTTCCCCAGGTGCTCTGAGCCTGGGAGCATCTCCCACAGAGCAGAGGCAATGGGTTATTCCTTTCAGAGCTATTTGTATTTGCAAAGAACCCCTCAGGAGGGGCCCCCTGGCTAGAATGCAGGGCTCTCCCGCCAGGGAGCACTGAGAGGGAGAGTTAAGACTATCTATGCTGCAGGTGGACGGGGAGGCCTGAGGTAGAAAGGGATGGAGAAACTTCTCAGAACATGTCACTGTTAGAGAGCTGCCAGCCGCTACAGGGGGCTCAGGGGATGGGCATGGGCCTGTGGCTCAGGGCGTGACCCCAGGGTCCTGGGATCAAGTTCCACATCTGGCCCGCTGGGAGCCTGCTTCTCCCTTTGCCTGTGTCTCTGCCTCTCCCTCCGTGTCTCTCATGAACAAATAAATAAAATTAATAAAAAATAAAAGTGCAGTTAAAAAACGAAAGACACACAGCTGCTTCCAGGTGGCTCCATGAACTTGGCTGTCAAATAAGCAGCAAGGAGGGACCGGGCGCCCGACGGCTTAGTCAGCAAAGCATGTGATTCTCCATCCCAGGGTGTGAGTTCAAGCCCCATGTGGGGTGTAGAGATGACTTAAAAATAAAATCCTTAAAAATAAAAGAGACCAGCAGCAAAGGTATGTTGAGGGGGAAAGAGCTGGGGAGAGGGCAGGTGGGTCATGCCCTCTGCAGTGGACGGTGCCTCTCGTGGTTCCTTCTTCCACTTCAGACCTGGAGGATGTCTGCAGCTGCCCTGAGAAGGCTGACCCCAGGTCACCCCCATCCTGCTCAGGGGGTCCTTGTGCAGGGGTCACCGTGCCCCATGCTGCAGGGCCCGGGCACAGCTCTCGAGAAGCCTGCACTCACTGCCTCTGCCCTTGTCCCCACAGGGAAGCCCTACGGGGCAGACGACTTCCTGCCAGTGCTTATGTACGTGCTGGCCCGCAGCAACCTCGCGGAGATGCTCCTCAACGTGGAGTACATGATGGAGCTCATGGACCCCGCCCTACAGCTGGGGGAGGGTGAGTCTGCACGCCAGGCCCACGTCTAGGCCCCCAGGTCACCCTGCACAGCCCCATACACCTTCCTGGGTGCCAGACACCCAGGGCCCTGGAGACAGGACACAAGGCCCCCCAGAGGCCCGCCCTAGGGGAGCTTGTGGGCCGACGGGAACCGGTGAACAGACCTGGTCACCACTGCTTGACAAACACAGCAGCGTGTATGGGAGCACATTGCCCAGGCTGTGCAGTCAGGGAGGGCTTCCAGGAGGAGGTGATAGCTGAGCTGAGCACTGAGGGTTGGACAGGAGCCAGACAGCTGAAGGAGGGGGAAAGGCTTTCTCCACAGAGGGAACCACGGTTGCTGGTAGCACAGAAGATAAGGCTGAAGCAATGGACGGATGCGTGAGAGGGAACCTGAGTGGGAATCACAGTTAGTTCTTAGATGGGGGCAGCCCTGGGACCAGTTGGCCCCTGCTCACCCAGCCTAGCCGGGTTCTGTGGGCAGTGAGCCCCGCACCCCAGGGGGATGATGGGAGAGGTGTGGTCTGTTCCACCCCACGCCTGGTTTCCCTTCCCCTTTCGTCTTTCTCCACCACTTCCCCCACCCACTTGGCTGGGGCTGCTCATCCACCCAGACTCCCTGAGGGACAGCCCACCCCGCTGTCTGGGCGTGCCCCGCAGGCTCCTCGCAGCCATCGGCCCCAGAGGCTGGGGTGCGACTCCCAGGGCCCTGCGGTTCCTGAGATCAGCTGGTCTTCCTTGCATCTGTTTGCAAGGGGGACACATCAGTCTCTGGGGCAACAGTATGACAGGGCGGTTCCGTGAGATCTTGGAAACTCAGGGGAGCATGCAGAGCCCTGAAGTTTGCTGTCATGAAGATGCTTCGCTAGGGCTCCCGACCCTGAGACTATTTCCGTCACTAGTTAAAACGTTTTCTGCAGTTGGGACAACTTGTCTTCCAGGAACTGTAAGAATTCAGTGGAAGCCGGGCTTCCTCCAGCAGTGATTGTCCACTGCCTGGTGCATCCACCCATCTGCCCGCCCATCCATCCATCCATCTCTCCACCCACCTGTCTGTCTGTCTGTCCGTCCATCCATCCATCTATCCATCCATCTGCACACACAGCCACCTACCCTATGTCCACCCACCCATTCAGTCTCCACCCACGAGTCCCAGGCACATGGGCTACAGTGCAGGGCAAGGCAGGCGAGGCTGACAGTCCCATGAGAATGAATGATTGCTTTGTTCTGAGCCCCACACTTGCAAGCCTCTACCTCAGGCCTCAATGGGCCTGCCTCCTTGATTTCTCCAGCCCTGAGAATGCACGCGGAAGCACCGTGAGGCTGAGGGGTGGGCAGGGGCCTCCCGACAACACTCTGTGTCTCCCACAATCTAAGGGAAAAGTTAGCAAGGAAGAGGAGGCAAGGAGGGTTAGGTTACTGTGGCAGAACTGGCTTCCTACCCCAATCCTGAATATCCCATTTCCTAGGGCTAGCCCCTGAGTAGTATAGCAGCCCACCCAGAGCTCTCAGCAGGAATATTAGCTATGGTCCCCTGGCTACCATACATGTGACCTCTGAGGGCAAAACTTTCACATGTCAAAAATCACCATAATAGAATAAGATACACCAGAGAAAAGTGTTCTTAAATTAGCATACCAAGAGTTAGTGACCTCAATATGTAAAAAAAAAGTCTTATAAAACAATAAAATAAGTATTTAGACTCAGTAGTCACCTGGGGAAAGGCCTTATACTCATTCATTCAACAGATATTGACTAAGCCAGGTGACAACAGGTCCCCTTTCCTGTAAAATTTTATTCCAGTTGGGAGAGAGAGGATGTCAGACCTTAAATAAATTAAGCAAATAAGCAAATGAAAAAAGTCTCACATCTGATCACATCCCATGGATGTTGAGAAGAAATGAAGTAGACTAGTGGGATAGTGCAGCAGGGCAGGGCATTGCTCAGACGATCGTGGAGGGCCGAGCACAGAGCAGAATGGCTTCTCTACTTTTTTCTGGGTTTTCATGTTTTCCAGTGGGCACTGCTGCTGAGCTCCCAGGGAAGAAATCACTTACAGACCCTGTTCAGGACTGGCCCCAACCGCACAGGGTGTCATAGACAGTGCTCGAGACAGTGTCCACAAAGCCTTGTGCAAGGTGGAGCAGGATTGGGCAGCTCTGCCATGGTCTGGGCGCTGGCCGGCCCTCCCGTGGTGGGCAGCTATGCCCTGGCCACCATGACTCCCTCTGCATTCTCACCCTGCATCCTTGTGGCCAAGCGGGGCCGCAGGCCAGGTGCAGGAACATCCTTGACCCAACCCCCCTCTCCTGTGGGCTTGCGCTGCCCCACCCCAGTCCTGCCATGGCCCCCTAGGTCTTCCTCCTGTTCCTAAAGCCTCTACAGGGTTTGGAGGGGAAAGCCCCGGTCCTCCAGGCAGGGACACTGGGCTCTGCTGGGCTTGTGGAGCGTTTCTGACACCGGCCACATACGAGTGAATATGCAGGGCTCAGGGTTCTGACCCAAGGCTGCTCGAACACCCTGCAGCCACCCCCTATCAAGCCCCACATGGGAAGGTTCCTGGGGAATGTGAGAGGCGAGTGCTGGGAATGAAGCTGAGGGCAGGGCGGTACTTGCAAGGCCTGCAAGGCCTGCACACGGCCCCTCCCTTCCCACCCTTGCGACCCTGACCCTGCGGTGACAGACTGGGCCCCTGGCAGCTCTGAGGGCCACAGGACAAACTTGGTGTTGTGTTACACAAACCAAAAGGCCTCCCCACACCTCTCTCTGTTCCTGCTCTGAGAGCCCAAGTGGGAAGTCACCGCCCAAGCCATGCTGCTGTTGGCCTGCCTTCGTGAGACCACGTGGGGCTCGCTGTCTGGCTTGGGCACGGGCTTACGCAGGTCCAGGTCTGACTGACAGCCAGCAGCCTTCCATCTATCTAGAAAGCTCTGGGGGCAGAGAGATGAGCACAAGGGGCAGCAGCGTCCCCAGCTTTGCCTCCTGTCCTATATGGCTGCTGGCTCGCAGGGCGCTCCACCCCCAACGCCCTGCAGTCTCAGGTAGAAAGAAGAGCCTGCCTGGGGGGAAGGGGGGGGCAGAGCCCTGGCCTTGGTACTCTTGGGAGCACGGACACACCTGGGGCAGGGGCGGACCCTCAGGGAGCCCTCCCTCCTAGAAACTGGCGTTGCTCCACTGAGAGAGGGGAATTAATGCAGGTCTAATGAAAAGTGCAGTTTTCAGACTGGATTTCTGTCCTGGACCTGCTTCCGATTGTGCAGGCCCTGGACAAGTCACTTGACTCCCCTGGCTTAGGAGGTACGTGCGCTGGGCTATATCTGGGGTTTCCAACCTGACGGGGCGCTCCAGCATTGTGCATGTGACCAACAGCCTGTGAGTTTGGCTTTGTGCCCTCTGAGACCCTTGTGCTCTGTCAGCTGGTTCTGAGAGGTGCTAAACCGGTCAGAGACCAGTGAGTGGGTCCTGCTTTCTTTTTTTAAGTCTGTCAATTTACTTATTAGAGAGAGAGTACACAAACAAGGGGAGCAGCACAGGGAGAGGGAGAAGCAGATGCAGGACTCGGGGATAGTGACCTGAGCTGAAGGAGACGCCTAGCCGATGGAACCCCCAGGTACCCCTCAGTCCTGCTTTCCTTGCAGGAGGCTTATGAGGCGTGAGAGGTCAGGGACTCCTACAAAAAGCAGAGAGGGCCTGAGCACTGGGCAGAGGGAACCCGGGCCCCCTAGTCTGTCTCTGCAGCTCCCACCACTCTGAGCAAGGAAGGGCAGATGGAGACCCAGGCAGTTGCTCAAGATCCAAACCTCTCCCAGAAGCGCCCTCCTGGACGTCGGTGTGCTCGTCCCCTCTGCACCCTGGCTGACAGCTGGCCACGCTGTGCAAGTATCTTCACGGGAGTAGGGAGTCCTCTCCTTCAGAGGACAACATGCTTCCGCAAAGGGAACAGCCGGCTCCCAAACTCAGGGTACGAGGGGTCACCTGCCCTCGAGTTGTCCTGGAGGGCGCCGCATGGCATGGCCCCAGGAGGGTGAGAAGCCCCCCGGGCTTAGGTCACCTCACCCCACATTGCCCACACGTTTTGAAGCCCTGCACTTGCAGGCATTCATCTCATTTACTTTCCACCACATCCTGGGAAAAGTGAACGAGGAAACAGGCACAGAGAGGACAGTCACCCCCTGAGATGACAGGGCTGCTGCTACTCGCCCCAGACCTAGCCTGTGCTCTCTGCCTCTGATACTGGACATGCCGAGTCACCGTGCTGCACTCCGCGCCTCTGTCCGCAGCCAGAAACACGGAAGGCAGGGCCCAGTGGGGCGGGGGTGGGGGGGTGGGGGTGGGCACGGGGAACAGCCAGCGGGCAGGAGCACAGGGACTTGCAGGACAGCCAGAGCTGGCGGCCCTGGGGCAGGGCGCCTGGCACAGCTGGCTCTCGGCCTTCCCGAAAATGAAGACACAGGTGTAGCTTGGTGGGGGCTCTTCTCTGGTGAGAGGCAGCAGCTCCCCCTCCAATTTGCCCTGACCTTAGTCACGCCCTCCCCAGCTATTTGGAGTGCAATGTCGGGGAGCCTTCTCCAGCGTAATGGGGATGCCTGGGGCTGCAGCTAACTCACAAGGGAGGCGGCAATCAAGAAGTCCTTGGATAAGCAATTGCTGATAATGGCCCTTCCTGGCCCTGCCATCAGGACGTCAGGCCAGCCCTCTGTGCTGTAGGACAGGAGCTTTTGTCCTCAAGCCTGTCCCCTCCCGTCAGTAGGCAGCTAGGCTCCCTGTGTGTCCCAGGCAGGAGGGAGGAGCACAGGCAATGTCAGCCCGGTCAAAAGGCTTCCCGCTGAAAGTCAAAAGGTCCTCCGGCCACCTCTTACATCTCAGCCAGATGGGGTCTCCTGGCCTCAACTCCCAGCTGCATGGGAAGTGAGCATCGTTAGTTCATTATTCCTCCCCCCCCCAAAGGAGAGTTCCGTTACTCAGAAAAAAGAAAAAGAGAAGATGGGATTTGGGTGGGTCACGAGGAGGAGAATCAGCCTCACCTCAGAGATCTTTGTCACCAGGGCACCTGGGTGGCTCAGCCGGTTATATAGCCTCTGACGCAATTTCCGCTCAGGTCATGGGTCTCAGGGTCCTGTGATCAAGCTCCTCCCTGAGCCCTGCACTCAACGCAGAGTCTCCTTGTCCCCCTCCCTCTCTACCCCCAATAAGTAAGTAAAGAAGTGAGTAAATAAATAAAATCTTAAAAAAAAAAAAAAAAAGAAGCATCACGAGAGAAATCCTTTTCCTGGTCCCTAAAGGGCCTGGGAGGAGGCCTGGGAAGGGGCTGCACAACCTTGACCAAGCCACCCTCCATCTCTCCAAAGTGACAGGGCTCCATGGGGTCAGTGCTTTGCTAACATCTTTTTTTAAAGATTTTATTTATTTGAGAGAGAAAGAGAGGGAGCAGGGAGCCTGCTGAGCAGGGAGCCTGCTATGGGGCTCCATCCCAGGACCCCGGGGTCATGACCTGACCTGAAGGCAGATGCTTCACTGCCTGAGCCCCCCAGGCACCCCACTTTGCTAACATCTTAGCCCAAACCCCTAGCAACCTAAAAACAGTGAACTTGGAAGCACTGGTGCAAATTACTATCTTTCATCTGAAAACTTCCTGTAAATTTTGCAGAAATCCGAAGTCTCTCAAAGCTTAAATTACCTTAGGAAACAGATGTGAATGTAACAGATATAAGAAGTAAAAAGGAATGGGGAAATGAAGAATTTGAATCTTTTACTTCCCTTAAATCTTTAAACTGTGTGTAAAAGTATAACTAAAACTTTAATATGTCTTTTGAAAATTATTTATTTAGACTAGGAGACGTGTGTGTGTCTGTCTACACACACGTGCACACGCACATACATGTATCACCAAGTAGTGAGAAGTCTCCCACCCACCCCTGTCCCCACCCTACAGACATCCACAATGGTCACTTTGTCGTGTGTCCTTTAAATCTTAAAAAATTCCAAAGCCCATTTGAAAAATAAAAACTCACTTGAGGGGGCACCAGGGAGCCTGCTTCTCCCTCTGCTTCTGCCCCCACCCCCACCGTTTATTCTCTCTTGCTCACTCGCTCAAATAAATAAAATCTTTTTAAATTTTTTTTGAAAATTTAAAAAAACTTACTTGACAAATAAATTCCATCCTGAAGGGGGAGCCAAAGACAGTCTTTTGAGCCTAGCAGGGCCTGACAGCTCCAGGGGCGGGACTTGAGGAAGCTGGCGAGTTGGTAGGGGTGCCACGCAGGGGCTATAGCTCCACAGGTGACCAGGTGACACCGAGGTACCCCAGGCAGCAGTGGGGGGGGGGGTGCCTGGAGCAGCTGGAGGTCTCCCCTCAGCTCGCACACCCTCTTCTCCGCAGGGTCCTACTACCTGACCACCACCTACGGGGCCCTAGAGCACATCAAGAACTATGACAAGATCACAGTGACCCGGCAGCTGAGCGTGGAGGTGCAAGACTCCATCCACCGCTGGGAGCGCCGGCGCACGCTCAACAAGGCCCGGGCCTCCCGCTCCTCGGTGCAGGTGATGGGGACGTAGGGACGCAGGGGGCAGGGGCAGCGACCCACACACCAGCCTGTGACCCTCCAGCATGGGACATGGGGACACGGGGGACAGGGGGAGATGGGCGGGGGCAGTGACCGAAACACAAGCCCGTGACCCTCCAGCAGGGGACACGGGGACACAAGGGGTTGGGGGGGGCAGGGACCCACACACCACCCATGAGCCTCCAGCAGAGGATGCAGGGGGGCAGGGACCCACACACCAGCCCATGACCCTCCAGCTTAGTGAAGTGAGCCGTATTAGTCTCCTGACACTGGCCCCATGTCTTTGGGGAGCAGTGTGGCAGGGACGGGATGGGGGCGGGGCTTACCCCAGTGCATAGCGCCCACTGTACGATGTGTCCCGTGCCCGGAGGTGTGGACCCAGGCCTGCCATCCTGCCTGGGGAGCTGGGCGCTGATCCACAGCTTTGCCACTGCCCAGCCTCAGTTTCTCTGACAGACCCTCCTCTGAGAAGCCTTGTAGGAACCAGCTCCTTGCCCGTCCCCACCCTACAGCACAGGTTAGATGCCGCCCTCCGTGCCTCTTGCTGCTGCCCCCGTTGTAGCACATGGTGTGACTGTCCCAGTAGGAAGCTATGGCCCTGGGAGGAGGGCATGGCTCACATATCTTAGGGGCCCCAAGTCCAGGGCCCAGGACAGAGAGGGACTGGGGTGTGTGCAGGATAGAGGCAGGCGGCAGTCCAGAACTTGGCACCTGGAGCCCCCTGGACCGGAACCTGCCCGGGCTGTCAGGACGGTCCCTGGGTAACGGGCGGAACTCACGTGTGAGGGCAGAAGGCCTGGTCCGGACCCCCATCCAAGCGAGCCTTGCTGCATCACCCTGAGTGGCCCCTGCCTGGACTCAGTTTTGCCATCAGCAGAGGTGGACTGGGGACCAGATGAGCTCTGCCCCCCAGGACGTGCTCTAGGCTCCTAGGATGGTGTCGCCCCCATCCCGGTCCGTGGGGTCTTCATCCTGTTTAGTAACTCGCTCTCTGGGGAGAAAAAAAAGCAGCTGTGATTTGAGCTTCTGCCCGTTTCCACGGTGTGGATACTCCCTGGGGCCAGTTCAGGGAACGAGCGGGGCCGCTGAGCTGGAAGTTGGGATGAGATGCGGGCACTTGGCCTCCCGAGGTCGCTGGACCGGGTTGTAGGAGGGGCTGCGGCACACGACCTCTCCTCTCCTCTCCCTCCTGGCAGGGCTCTGCACCAACTCTGGCTGGGGGGACTGGATCCAGGCCTGCCCCTGGGGGGCCCTTGCTTCTCTATGGCAGGTCCCCGGTTCAGCCCAGCAGACAACACTGCCTCTCACTGGGGAGGGTCAGCTTATGACAGGCCTGGGGTGGGGGCCAGGGGCCCCTCAGCACCGGCCCTGGGCCTGGGGCCAGCAGTGCCCTCTGCTCCCCCCAGCGCCGCTGGTGCACTCAGCACTGCAGGCACAACTGTAATCAGCCCTCCGTGGTGGTCCGGGCCAGCTGCAGCGGCATCGTGGTCCCCGCCGTGAGACAGCTGTGCTGCTGCCGCCCCTCCACAGGAAGGCACCCTGCGCACCCTGCGCACCCAGCTGCCCACCTGCCCTCAGGGTGCTGGAGGGTGCTCGCAGCCCCGGTGTCGGGACAGGTGTCGCCCCGCTTACAGCTGTTAGTGGAGGCAGAGAGGTCAAGGTCTCAGCGTGCCAGCGGGTTCAGAGCCAGGCAGGAACTCGAGGGTCCTGCCCCCGGGGCTGGAGGAGGAAGGTGTGGACACGGTCCCCAGACCCGGCCCTGTAGGCCCGGCCCCCTCAGTCGCACACCCACCGCCCTTTCCTTGAGACACCCTCCCCGGAGCCCGCCACCTGTCGCCAGGCGCCCCCGGCCCCGACGGCTGAGCCGGGGCCGCCCCTTCCGCACCGCGGGCTGCTGGGGCGGGGCCGGGGCGGGGGCGGGGCCCGGGGGAGCGGGCGGGGGCGGGGCCCGGGGGAGCGGGCGGGGGCGGGGCGGGGGCGGGGCCCGGGGGAGCGGGCGGGGGCGGGGCGGGGCCCGGGGGAGCGGGCGGGGGCGGGGGCGGGGCGGGGGCGGGGCCCGGGGGAGCGGGCGGGGCCCGGGGGAGCGGGCGGGGCGGGGGCGGGGCCCGGGGGAGCGGGCGGGGGCGGGGCCCGGGGGAGCGGGCGGGGGCGGGGCCCGGGGGAGCGGGCGGGGGCGGGGCCCGGGGGAGCGGGCGCGCGGAGGGCGGGTGCGGAGCGACGGCGGGGCCGCGGCGGCCACCAGGGGGCGTGCACACGCCCGCTCCCTCCCGAGGGTCCCCGCGGGCGCGGCCTCGGGGCGGGGCGGGGAGGGGCGGGGCACCGCGGCTGACCCGGCCCTCGGCCCCCAGGACTTCATCTGCGTGTCGTACCTGGAGCCCGAGCGGCAGGCGCGGACGCTGGCGTCGCGGGCAGACACGCCGGCCGAGGCGCTGTGCGCGCAGTGCGCCGAGAAGTTCGAGGTGCCGCGGCCGCAGGACCACCGGCTCTTCGTGCTGGTGGACGGCCGCTGCTTCCGGCTGGCGGACGAGGCGCTGCCGCACCGCATCAAGGGCTACCTGCTGCGGAGCGAGCCCAAGCGCGACTTCCACTTCGTGTACCGGCCCCTGGACGGCGGCGGGGCCGCGGGGGGGCCGCCGTGCCTCGTGGTGCGCGAGCCCAACTTCCTGTGACGCGGCCCCGCCCCGCCCCGCCCCGCGACCCCCGGGACCCCCGGGACCCCCGGGACCCCCGGGCCGCGCCCCGCACCGAGCTGAGGCCCCGCGCACCGCCGGGACCGCCGGGACCGCCGGGACCGCCGGACCGACAGCCCCTGTGCTTCGCTAGGCAGAAAGGGAGCCTGCGGCTCAGAGACAGACGGGACTGCCCCGCCCGCTGCCGCCGCCGCCCGACCTGGCCCTGCCGCCGCTCGGCCCTGCAGGCCGGTCCCCCTCCCCCGGGGCCCCCGGGACCATCCTTCCCGAGCAGCCTCAGCCCGGCTCAGCTTCGCGGGGCCCTCGGGGTGGAGCGGGGGCGGGCACACTCCCGGCGCCTCGGGAGCATCTCCCAGGGTGTGTGCGGGACACGAGCCCCACCCTGAGCCGGGCGGCCTCACCCCAGCACCCGCAGCCGCCCTCGCGCCGCAGGCCCTGAGCACCCATCGCAAGCACCAGGAGGGCCGAGCACAGCCAGCCCGGCGTCTGCGGCGTCTCCGTGGACAAGCCCAGCTTCAGCCTGCCGAGAGCCGGCTCGGAGCCCTAACCCGGTGGGCACGCCCCACGGTGCGGCTGGGGGAGAACCTAATAAACGCCCTCTTAAAAATGGCATCTCTCACTCCCCTTCCTGCCCAGCTCCCTCCCAGGTGGGGTCAGAGGCCACGCTCCCTGCGAACCTGAGGCCCGTCCTGTGCACAGTTGGCCACATGCTCTCAGCCACGTAGCTCGCGCCGCCTGTCCAGGCCGCACCTCGGCCGGCTGCTGGCAGCCTCCCCACCATTTGCGGTTCCCACAGCACCCCCACCTCGGGATCCCACACGTCCATGCTTCCACTACTTATCCTGGGAATACCATTCCCTGTAGCCACTGTTTGGTCAGACTCCTATTTGTCCTTCAAAGTTCGTCTCTGACTTCCTCGGCTGGCCAGGTAGTGCTTGCACACTTTCCCGCAGCCCCTGGGCTCATCCCCTCCCAAGAGACATCGGATTGCAGTTGTCTCTCGATACTTGGGCCCCATCCCCCGGACTATTCATGACTGCATCCTCTGCGTTGATTTGAAATACGCGTTTGTGGAGTGCCAGTTACATGTCAGCACCGCTCTAGGGAAGCAGAGAGAACAGAACAGGGTTCAAATGGAGCCTCGATGTGAAGGCGATGCACCACGCTGCATGCCCTGAATAAACCCCCGGGCATCAAGCAGCTTATTCAGCCAGCAGCTGCCGGGGCTGCGGCCTGTTAGCGGGTCCCCTGCATCGTTTCCTTTAGTGGGCAGAGGAAGGCACGGCGGCTTGGAGCGGGCCAAGGACCCACCACAGCCCCGCACTTAAAGGGTACGTTGGTTTCGCCACATTCTGGAGGCTGGACGTCTGTGGGGTCACTCTCCCCCCACCCAGCCTGTGGGGCTGCCTCCCATGGCCTTGCTCCTCTGCCTGAGCACCCCAAGTCTCCGCCTACCCAGATGCCCGGCCCACTGGAGCAGAGCCCACCGGTCTGCCCTCAGGTCACCCTAACGCCCTCTTTAATGCCCGTCTCCATGTGCCATCACATTCTGAGATGCTAGGGATCAGGGCTTCATCTGAGGGACCTTGGGGGACGCGTTCAGCACATCACAGGGGGTGACTCACCCGAGGGCACATGCCCCTTAGAGGCCAAAGTGGGGTTTGAACTCAGGGCTGACCTACCCTAAATCCAAGGCTGTTTTTCCTGCTGCACACGACCTCCCACGTGACCTGTGACCTGACACAGAGACGCCAGGCTTGCTAAGCTGGCCCATGAGGCTCTGCCCTGGGCAAGGTTGCCTGAAGCAGCTGGTCACGGCAAGCACGGCAAGCACCGGTCATGGCAACGCCATAGGGCTGACCCGGCAGATGGGGGTGGGGATGGGGGGGTGAGGGGGAGCGGCCAGACTTGGCTGAACCAGCCCCACCTCTCCGCAGACCTGAGCAAGGGGTCGGGAGTCCAGTGCTGAGTGTATGTGTGTGTGTGTCTAGGAGTGATAGGACAGAGGCTGTCGCGTGTGACGGAGGCCTCGGTGTCCCCTCCCCAGTGTGCGTCCCCTCCCCTTGGCAGGTTGCCCCCTGAGCCAGGCTGACACTGGGTCCCGCCTGGGGCTTGCTCCTGCAGCCCCAGGGCCGACCAGTGACAGCTGCGTGCGAAGTCCTGCCCATCAAGGGAAAAGTCTCAAACTGGCCCAACGTTGCCCAGCCCGTGACACCTTCACGTGGCCTCAGTCCACTTTGCCGCAGCTATGAGCAGGTTCCTGCTGGGGGACCAGGGACAGGCCTGGGGGGCAGCAAGCAGAGAGCAGAGGCCTGAGGAGGAAGGATAGGTGGGAGGGGGGGGACACACTGGGGGCAGCAGAGACGCCCCCCAGCCCCCACTCACCGGCCCAGCAGCCATCTGGGGGGTAGACAGAGGCCATGTCTGGACAGCGGCACACGCAGGGCGACACGCAGGGCGACACGCAGGGCGACACGGTCTCTGGCAGGCCCACGCCCCCTCCCCTTGCCCCTCCCCGTCCCAGCTCCTAAAGGTGGTTTCCGGCCCCAGTGCAGGAACCAGGCCGGCAGGCCCTGGTAGGGGAGCCTCAGGCCGTGAGAAGGTAAACCGCTGGGGAGGTGCACACAGGCGGGAGGGCGCCCACCGCACCACCTCGGGACCAGGGGGCAGAAATCCCATTGAGGCCCCGCTCCAGGCGGCTGCTCCTGGTGGGGGCCAGGTTACCCCCGGTTGAAGGGGCACCTGGTCCAACGGTGTGGAGGCAGCACAGGGTCCCCAGGGCGTGCGGGGGAAGTCAGACCTGGGGGGCCCTGGGCCACCCGCCTGTTTTCAGCCTTGGTGACTGGCCGGTGGCGGCAGTAGGCGGGGGCTGCTCCGGGGCTCTAGCGGGTGGACGGCGCCCTGGAGGTGGGCGTGTGCGAGCCGAGCCGGGGGCTTGAAGGGGAAGGAGCAGGCGAGAGCCAAGGGAGCAGGCCCGCGAGAGCGACAGGGACGGCTTGGCCGGCGTCGGTGCACAGCGCCCCTGAAGGGCCCGACGCTCCTCCTCAATGGATCAGAGGGGCCTCGCCAGGGCGAGTTCTTCCCGCCCTCCCGGGGAGAGGGCACCTCCCTCCAGGGCAGGGGGCGGGTTCCTGGCAGCCTTTCTGAAAAAATCCAGATCTGCCTGAGCTGGAGGCCTCTCAGTGACGCCGCAGCCCATGTCATGCGCCCAGGGATCCCAGGTCTTCACCAGCACCTGAGCAGCCCTGTTAGCTTGGGGGGCGAGGGGAGGTAAGGCTGTAGGCCACCCTTGACGAGGGGGCTGCAGGTGGTGAGAACAGCCACGAGGAAGGGGCCGCACGCAGGGCCACCGGGTCGGTCGGTTGTCTCAAGGTGGCCCAAGCAGCAGGGGGTAATGGGCCAGGCCCTGAAGAGCCCACATGGCAGCTCAAGGAGGCTGGAAGGTCTGCACTCACACGTGGTACAGAACTGGAGGGGCCTAGGGAGGGGGCAGGGGTTGACCAAAGCCTGCCCCGGTGACCAGGGGAGAGTTCCCCCCGTTGGCAGTCCCTCAAATTAATGATACAGGCCTTGAGCACCAAGCGCGATCAGAGGGCACTGTGACCCTCAGAGGTAGAACTCGGGGATTCATTAGCGGTTAACCCCCCCATGCTCAACCCACACGTGCCCTCCTCAGTGCCTGCCATCTGTGACCTGTCCCCAACCCGGCCCCTCCGGCGACCCCCAGTGTTTCCTAGAGTTCAGCGTCTCTTACGGTTTGCCTCCCTCCCTGATTTCATCTTACTTCCCCCTCCCTGCCCCTTGGTTCCTGTTTGTTTCTTAAATTCCACATGAGTGAAATCATGTAATCATCTTTCTCTGACATCGCCCTCTTGTTTCACCCACATCATTCCAAACTTCATCCTTTCTGATGGCTAATATACCACTGTATATATACACCACATCGTATCCATTCATCTGCCGATGGACAGACACAGTGCTCCTTCCACAAGGCTCCTTCCACAGTGTGGCTATTGTGGACATGGCTGCTGGAAACATCGGGGTGCAGGTGTCCCGGCGTTTCATTGCATCTGAATCTTTGGGGTAAATCCCCAGCAGTGTAATTGCTGGGTCGTAGGGAAGGTCTATTTTTAACCCTTTGAGGACCCTCCACACAGTTTTCCAGAGTGGCTGCACCAGTTCACATTCCCACCAACGGGGCAGGAGGGTTCCCCTTTCTCCACATCCTCTCCAACATTTGTTTCCTGTCTTGTGGGTTGTAGCCATTGTAGGTGAGGTGGAGTCTCACTGTGGCTCTGAATTTCCCTGCTGCTGAGGGATGTGGGGCATGTTCTCACGTAAAAGGCATTACCGTTTCTGTTAAGTGGGCAAGAGTGACCGGGTGTCTAGGGAAGCACATGCTACAAAGCCAGAGACACCGGGGGAGTGGGTGTGGGGGCAGGGGCAGGCTGTGACGGGCTGGAGCGGGAGGGGTTTCTGGGGGCTGCTATGGTTCACCGTAGGTGGCAGCGAGCCCTGAGCCATGGCGCCGAGGTCTGGCCGCGTGTTGCTCTGGTGTTGTTGGGGTGTTCTTCGGCTGGAATTCACGTGGAAACTGGCGGGATGTTGAGTAAAGCAGATCACCCTCTGCAGTGTGTGTGGGGGGGTCCATCCAGTCTGTTGAAGGCCCCATAGAGCAGTGTGACCTCCCCGAGCAAGGATTCCACTGGCAGACAGCTCTTGGACGTGAACTGTAACCACCCCCTTGGTCTCCAGTCTACAGACTTTGGACTTAACTGAGCCTCCAGTCACGTGAGTTGACTCTAAGACGAATCTGTCCTCACACACATGTACACATGACGGGCTCTGTTTCTGTGAGAACCTTGACCTGACTTCTCTTTCTTGATAATGGTGAGAGCTACAAGGATGTTCACCTTAAACTTCACTAAGCAATGTACTAGTTTTGCATGATATTCTGGTTTTCTGATGAGAAGGTATGTTGCACACAGGTGTTGATACACAGATGGGGGTTTTGCTGAATAAATGATATTTGGGATTTATGGGGAGTTGAAGAGATGGCTACGTTTTGCTCTATTTTTGTGCCGTGTGACTTGGTGCCAAGACGTGTCTGTACATTTTGGATAGAATCACCAAAGAAGAAAAGCTGTTCCTAGTCATGATACACATGGGAAGATCAACACAATTAGAAATCAAACAGAAGGGACACCTGGGTGGCTCAGCGGTCAAGCCGCTGCCTCCGGCTCAGGTTGTGATCCCAGGGTCCTGGGATCCAGTCCCGCATCGGGTTCCCTGTGAGGAGCCTGCTTCTCCCTCTGCCTGTGTCTCTGCCTCTGTCTCTCATGAATAAATAAATCTTTTAAACAGAGAAATCAAACAGGAAGGATTTAGTACGAGGGACAAGAGCCTGTGGAGCCCCAGAAGGACAAAGCAGGCCGAGGTGCTGTGACTAGGAAATTGTTGTTTATTGAGGAATAAAACATGGCTGCTCTTCACCTTTGGAACCATGAATATTCAAGCTTCTGTATTTGTTAGATAAGTACCTTGCTCTACAGAGAGGATAAACAAGAGACGCAAGACCCCATTCCTAAGAGGACGAATAGAGCTTTTCACCGCCTGCATCGTGAGTCCTTCTAAAACACTCCCTTTAAAAATTCTTCCTTTTGGTGTTTTCCTTTGGGCCTCAGGCAGTCCTTGGGGGCCCGTCACTGAGTGTTCGTGATGACACCGTGTGCTCCCTGTTGTTAGCTGAAGCCCTAGCGCACCCCCAGATCTCTGGACCCCTGAGGTCATCTGATCACAGGGAAAGGACAACCGTGGACCCATCAGAAAAAAAGAAGCACCTGGAATCTGCCACAGACATGACCCCAGTGGCCGGTGTCCCGGCTTCTGGTCCATAACCCCAAGCCCCTAAGGCTTCGATGGCTGCTATATAACAGGTGGCCGTTGGCACCCAGGTGTTGGCGTCCAGGTGGTGTCACTTGCTCTCTCTCCAGCTCCTACCTCAAGAGCACCTGGCTCTGTGGCTTATTCTGAGAAATAGCATCACTGAAATGTCACGAGCGAACCACACAATCCCATGTACACATACAATCCAGAGGCATTCTGTATAATCAGAGTCGTGTGTACATTGCCACAACCCATTCTAGGACATTCTCAATCTTCCCAAAAGACCCACGTCCCCAACAGCAACAGCCCCTTCCCCCCCTTCCCACTCTGCCCACTGCCTGGCGCCTCTTGTCCACTTTCCGTGTCCATGGACCTACCCGTCCTGGACATCAGCTGGAGGTGGAACCGAGGGTTCGTGGTCCTTGGCGACAGGTGACTTGGCTGGGTGGCACTCCGTTCCTGTTTGCTGCTCTAGGCCGCCCCCTACAGGGGTGCGCTCAGGTCACGGACACGTCCTCAGGGAAGTCCCTGCTGAGTTCATCCGTGTGGATGGGGGGGGTGCTGGGCCCAGGGAACAGCCAGGCAGCCTCTGCCTCCAGAAGCGGATGCACCCCACCCCCTCCCATCCAGTGAGCTCAGACCCGATGCGGCGGAGCTGTGAGACGCCCCAGCGCAGCCAAGTCAGCCGGGGAGGAACTTTCTGCAGACACTCGGGATGGGGCTGAAGGGGCTCAAGGGGAAGTGGCACCCAGATTCCCCTGGGATCTCTCACTGGAGGGAAAGGCGCTGGGGGCACAAGGACAGCTGGTCACAGGGCACAGGAGGCTGACGTGTCCAGGGTGCAGGACTGGGGGGTAGAGGGCAGCACCAGCTGCAAAGTCAGGGGCCTGGAATTACTACTCAGGCTCAGTCATGAATCTTTATTTTCGTAAGCCTTGCCCGTTATTGATAAATAAAGATATAAAAACAATCAAAGATCTTAGCATTTTCTAAAGATCATTTTTCATCGGGGGCTGTGCATCCATCTTGGGTAAAATCATTCCGAGGATGCGCAGGCCCGGCCTCCAACCCCCTGGGACAGAGACGGTGGTAGCGAGAGCCTGATGCCCCCCTACACCTCAAGACTGGAAGCACACTCAGAGGCAGGCAGGCCCCAAGGCACACGGGACCTGAGGGAGGTGGGGGAGAGAGCCTGCACCCAGGAGCCCCAAGGCCCCTCCCGGGTGTGGGTCCGCGCAGAGGCGCTCCGGAGGCCAACGTGTCAGTAGTAGCGGAGGCACACCTTGTCCATGGACAGCTTGATTCTGCAGGAGTCGGGAAGACAGAGCAGGTGAGCCGTGTCAGGGGTGGCAACCCCACACCAACCTCACACAGCCTGGAGCAGGCCATCCTCGGGACGCAGCCGTCAATGGTGAGCACCCGGGGTGGGGATCTGACACCCTCCCATGTGGTAGGCAGAGAAGACAGCTCCCTGCCTCGCAGGGCGACCCTCCCACTGCTGGGGGGGAGGGGGAAGGCCCGTGACCTACCTGTCGATTGGGAAAGGCCTCTCACAGAGGTTGGCGAGCACGTGTAGCTGCCTGAGCGCATACTCGTACTGCAGGGAAACAAGCCCCCAGGGACGTGGTCAGACGCCCGTTGTCGTGTCGCTGCACCCAGCTCCTCATGGGGAACCCCACCACCACCACCGCGCTCCCAGACCTAACGCCTCCCGACCCATAGTCCTGGACCCCCTCCCCCAACTCGGTCATGCACTGAGATTTGTGGGCTGGGGCCCATGGCGGGGTTGGAGTTGGGCCCTCGCCCGCCTGGTCTCCAGTTCCAGGAACCTCCTTCTGAGGGGGCCTGCACTGAGGACGGGACCGGCGGATGCGGCTCCAGCTCGCAGCAGGTGAAGACTGCAAGGACCAGGAAGGTTGGTTTATCTGAAAAAACCTCCCGGGGAGTCTGGAAACACTCAGGAGGAAGGAACAGATCCACTCCAAGTGGTTCCAGACGCAAAACATCAACCCCCGAAAACAAAGCATTTATTAAACAAGGGGGAGGGTTTTAATTAAACAAGTGAGAAAAATACCTGCCTGACAAAGTTAAAGAAAAGAAAAAAATAAAACTGAGAGCCTCTGGGTAACAGAGTGCATCATCCCAAGCTCCCAGCTCCCTGTCTTTGGGGACATCACAACTGAGTACACACATCACGGCCCGACCGTGCCTCTGCCACAATGGAAACATTCTAGACAATTCTCTCCACGCAGAGGCTGTAGCCCCAAGGGAGTAGCGCACACTGGAGATGTGGCTACTGCAGCCAAGACACAAAGCTTTCATCTTATTTCATTTGAATTAGTCTAACGGATTTGAATCTAGATCCAAGCGGCCGTCCGAGGCCAGTGACCCTGCATGGGGAGCACAGTTGAGAAGCAGAAGTCGCCACACCTGGGAAACGCTGAAGAGGAAGCATTTCTGGCTTTGCGGGCGGCAGGAGCCCCACAGGCTGCAAGGGGAGCATGGCCACGCCCCTGGGAGACAGTTTATGAGGACAGGCTGGGGCAGGACAGGCTCGCGGCTGCCCTACCGACCGTGTCCCCACAAGGGTCCAGCCGCACAGCCTGACCAAGGTGCCTCCTGCCCGACCTTGTGGGGTCTGCGGGGACAGAACCACGCTCCCATCCTCTGACAGTAAGTGTGGGGATAGGTTGGGGGCCCAAGGGACAGAGTCCCGATGGCCGCTGGGGCGTGGGCCATGCAGGGACCCGGCAGGCACTTGTGGGGAAGCAGCACCCCCAGTCACTTGAGTCATGACAGACACATGCTCACCCACCTGGCAGCGTGCATGCCTGGGGCCGGCTCCTGCGGTCAGCAACCAGGCTGTCCTGCCCCCACCCCTCCCACCCCCATGTCCGTCGGAGGCCCCAGGCGGCGCCTCTGGTTCCTGAGCCTGGATGGGACCCTCTATGAGGCAGCAGGCCTCCTGTGACCTCAGGGGACAGGCACCTCGCAGTGGGGATCTCGGGGATCTCACCATGACGGAGTGCCAGTTGAAGCAGTGCGTGCGGAAGTGGGTCACGGCCGCCTGGAAACAGTCGTAGGCCCTAAGCTCGGCCCTATCGGACAGCAGCCACTTGGCCTCCGCGTCGGAGCTCGCCATCAAGGAGACCATCTTGCGCACAGCCGTGTCAATGACGTGCCTTGCCTGTGAGGACAACACAGCCTGACTCAGGGTGGCCCCTTGGAGCCGTGATCGCTCAGGGGCCTGTGTACAGATCTCTCTCCTCACGTGGCTCCTGGCCCAGCCACGCCCACAAGGCGCTGGGGGGCTTCACCAGCCTCCAGCTCAGGACGTGATCTGGGTCCTGGGGTCAAGTCCTGCGTTGGCACCCTGCCCGGCAGGTGCCCGCCCTCCCTCCCCCTCAGCCCCTCCTGCTGTTCACACTCACTCTCCCTCTCTTACTCTCTCACTTGCTCTCTCTCAACTAAATAAATGAATCTTTAAAACAATCAGACGCCAACAACGGCATCCTGTGGGGGGAGCCATGTGCAGGGGAGACGTAATGGCCAGAAAGCCTCGCACGACCCTGTGCTCTTGGGGTCTCTGACAGATGGACATTTTTGCCTCCAAACACCTGAAGTGCAGGCAAGGCCCACCCTGAGGAGAGGAGCAGGTGTACAAACTGTGGCCAAGCAACTGTCCCGTGAATGGGGCCGCCTGTTGCAGAAACCACCTGACAGACATGGGGCACAGAGGGTGGTGGCACGTCCTTCCCACATGCTGAATAAAAAACATACTTTACCACAAAATAGGTCGAATACTTTTCTAACAGGTCAATATATTTTTAAAACTTCAGCGTTCATTTCTAAGGCAGCAGATACCACGATCACCACATGTCAACACAGCATTTTGGAGTCCAGGCTCCAGTAGGAATGGGGGGAGGTCCCAGACCAACCCAGACGAGGACCTCCTTGTCACCCTGTGCTGCACTCTGGTTACTACGCCCCTGCGGGGCCCTGTTGGGATTATCAGACACAGGAATGGGAGCCAGACCACAGCTGTGGTCTCTGTCCTGGAAACACGGGCTGCACGGCACAGGGCGGACACTGCCAGGATGACACAGCCTCTACCCGGCCTCCCGGGGCCCGCTTGCCAGCTGGTGCTTCTAGACACACGGCTGCAGCTTCAATTGCCAATTCTGCAGGTTTCAAATAATCAGATGAACTGCTGCAAACAATCAGCAGTGGTAAAAGGGTAAAAGATCGCTCACACGAATTTTAGGCTCAGGAAGAATTTTAGGCTCTATGATTTCCTAAGGGGGTAGAAACATAGGCTGCATTGCATTTTTTTTAAACCATGATTGGCTAATAAGTCACCAAGTGGCAACACACACGCAGAATGTTTCCTGAGCAACTAGGAATAAAAACAAGGAAACGCCCACATCCCATCTGTGCTGCTGCTGCCGAGGGACCAAGGTCAGGATAAGGACAGCTCGGCCCTGCTCACTCACCTCCCTGTTTTTTTTGTTTTTTTTTTGTTTTTTATAATTTTTGAAAATCTGTTTTCTTTTTAATTTATTTATTCATGATAGTCACACACACGGGGGGGGGGGGGGGGCAGAGACACAGGCAGAGGGAGAAGCAGGCTCCATGTACCGGGAGCCCAATGTGGGACTCGATCCCGGGACTCCAAGATCACGCCCTGGGCCAAAGGCAGGCGCCAAACCGCTGCACCACCCAGGGATCCCACCTCCCTGTTAACAGACACAAGGGCCACATGCCTTCCCACTGCCTCCTATGTGGCTGGAGGGGGTGGGCCCTGCTGTGGCCCAGCTTCACGTTCCCCTGGCCAAACATCAGGACGCAGACACCCAGGTCCCTGCTGGCTGACCCTCAAGACGCAGACACCCAGGTCCCTGCTGGCTGACCCTCAAGATGCAGACACCCAGGTCCCTTGCGCTGCCTGCTGAGGCTGGGAGCAGCAACTGGAAATGGTTCCTTCAAGCACGACTTACATCCAGGTGCCTGTGGATCTGCTCCACGAGAATCCTGGACTCCTGCAGATCATTGGTGCTCATCAGCTTCCTTTTCATGATGGTGAGGGGCACCTCGGGGCTCGGGGTGAGGTCAAGGTGCTTGACAGGAGGCAGAGAGATAGGGGCACTGGCCTTGTGCTTCATCCCCTGGAACTGCATCACTTTCATGGCAGAGATGGACTGAGGAGAGAGGGGACAGCCAGGTGAGTGGGAGAAGCAGACATCCCATTTGGTCCTGGCTCTGGCTGCTTGGGGAGGCTCCCCGCTCAAGCCCATGGCCTCAGGACCACAGAAGGGCCCCAGTCACAGCCTGTGAACACACACTTGGCCCTCAACACGGGGACAGAAGACACATGTGAGCACCTGAGGTCCCCTAATGATGAACTTCAAGATGCCTGAAATCTTCTATGGGAGAACCACTCACTGTGTCACAAAGGAAAGGCCATCACAGCTCCACAGGGACCTGAGCCAGGACTCAGGTTTTCAGCCAGGAAAGACTCTGGGTTCTGCTGCCCTATCCAAGCACCACCCCCTCCCCAGCCAACCCCACAGCCGCGCGCCACCCCCCCGCCCAACCCCACAGCCCATGCACCACCACCCCCCGGCCAACCCCACAGCCCACGCCACCCCTCCACCCAACCCCACAGCCTGTGCCGGCCCCCCCTCCTGCCCGACCCCACTGTCCGTAATCCCCTGGCCAACCCTGGATTCAGGATCAGGAAGGCACAAAGCCCAGCTTAGAACTGGATGACATCTGGGTCCACTGAGAGGGACAGCGGACCGTCAGGGCCAAACAGGCATGTCAGCCAGGCTCCAGACTAGACCCCCCATCAGAGGGAAGAAGTGTGACAAGGAATCCTTTTCCTAAACCAAGCAATAATAATCTAAAAAGTTCTAAGACAAATAATAAAATATACACAAACATCTATCAACACCTCATGTTTAGAAAGGTCCCTCCTGTGTCTTCAACCAAGACCAGGCACAGCCAGTGCAGAAGTCAAATGCCAGCAGGAAGCCTCTCCTGCTTCAATCCCACAGCCAGGGCAGTGCCACCTCTGATCCCGCCTTCAGCAGGTCACCTTCCCTTGCCATCTCCCCTCCCTGCTCCACCACCACTACTCATAAGGCCCGAGAAGGCCTGGGGCACCCTGAGGGCATATCTCCTGCCCAGGCTCAGGTCTACATGGTGCCCGCGAGGAGCTGAAGGCAGCAGCACTGACCAGCTCACAGCGTCTCCTACAAGGACAGTGCTGGCATTGAAGGAACACGACTGCTGGGGCAAGATAAGCTAGTGCAGGCCGCCTGGGGAACGCTGTTCGGTCACAAACACCCCCTTGCACATGGCAGGGGTCAGCTCCAGCTGGCAGCACAGCAGCCACCTGCTGTGACCTCTGTCCACACAGCCCTGATAAACTCATCCATTTAACCACTGTAGGTCCCTTCTCAACACAGCTGGGGCTGGGGCTGTGGAAGTCCCTACATTCTGGTCTGACAGTAAAGGTAACAAGCTGCCACATGCAGGGCTGGGGTCCTCTGAGGCACTGCCCCGAAACTAATAGAAGCTTTCAAGGCTGTGACCTCTTCCCACGTGCCAAGCCTGCTTAGTGTTTCTGGTGCGTGGTCTTTGATTGAACTCTACAGGCCGAGGAGGACATGGAGATTCGGGGAAGCAGTCCACCCCAAATCTCACAGCTTTTCAAGAGTGAACCTGACAAAGTCTGATCCCAGAGTCCAGGCCCGGTGCCCCGGATGCAGCTGGCAGCAAGGGACAAAGCCATCCACACTTCAGCCATCTCTCTCCTGGGTCCCCGCCCCTTTCCCCCAAGAGAGGCATATTCCGGGGGAGCCAGGCCGAGGCTCTACATCAGTGGCAGCAGTGTGAGGCTGCCCTTCTCACCTTGTTTCCGTACTGCATGACGTGGCTGGTGTTGGTGTGGGACTTCACCAGCTGGTACTGCCTGTGGAGGGTCTCCTTCGTCAAATCCTCCTGCAAAGACGGAAACATGAAAGTCCTCTGATGATCAGAGCCAATGGCCACACCTCAGTGGAACAGCCAGATTCCCAGGGGCTCACCACGTCTGAGTCCTCCATCCAGTTGACGCTATACCAGTCCCCCAGGAATGTGGACCTCTTCTCGTCATAGTAACAGGCGTAGGATGACTCGCTGGGGTTGGCTGCTGTGGTCGCATAAACTAGGAGGGATTCAAGACTTCGTGCTGTAACCCTCTGCCCCCTGTTGTGGGTCCTTCCCTCCTTCCCAGTGCGCTCAAAGCTGGCAGCTGTACCCAGCCCTGTTCATTCGGTGACAGTCACTGTCTACAATTAGATGTGGGAGAAAGAGAAGCTGGTTGACAGACACTTTCTGTGGAAATAAATAAGCAAGCCTGCATGCTCGCTAGGATGCCGAGGTATTTTAGAACAATGCTGAAAGATTATAATAGCTCTGGAAACTCAAAGGACATGAAATGAAACCTAATCTCACTTCCAGAGAAATCCACTGTTTACTGGACAAACGCTTTGCCTAAACATACACGATAGCCAGCATTTACTATCTTGCTACTATGGGCTCAGGATCGTGCTGGGCAAATGTCAACACCTCAAATGCACCTCCCCCAGCAGACAGGCACCATCTTTATCCCCATTTTACAGGGGGGAATAACTGAGGGTCAGTGAGGGTCAGTCAGTCAACTGCTCAAGATCACAGCCAGCTGGCAATGCCTCGCAAGGGACCAGAGCTGGTCTCAGGACTATGTGACCCTGGACTTTAGGAGCTTTACTAGTCCCTGGAAGAAGACCAGAAAGCTCCCATTGGTCTTTTCTCCCAGACCACTAATATGTGAAGGTGGAGCCCAGAGCTGCCCTTATCCCTACTTCTGTGCACCAGGCTGCCCTAGTTCCCTACTCATAGAGACCCCTTGGTTCTTCACGTCACAGAATCGGAGTGGAATGAGCAACCATGCCACTGAGCAACCTGCTCACCCGCTGGGCTCAGAGGCCAGACCCACCACCTACCATTGATGTTGCTGGGCAGGTGCCTCATCATGGACCCAGATTCACAGGCTTCGATGTAGAACACCATCTGTGAGGCAGACAAGACAGGTGACCTCACACACATGTGGCTCTGGCTCTGCCCCTCTCTTCACCCACTTTTGAGAGTCTTTTACTCTTGCTTCTGGGAGCTACCTCTGCCGTGAGGGGCTGCTGCTTGAGGCTACAGAAGCTGCCATCATGCAAGCCAGAAAGACTCAGAGCTACTCATTACTAACAGACTATATGATCTATTAGTTCAAATGATGCAGGCAAATAGTCCCACAGGTCATTCTAAGGAAAACTGTTTTGTTTCGCCATTTGATACAGGGAGACAGTGCAGCAGGCCATCTTTCCAACATTTCTGTCATGTACGTGCCTGGGCTATTCAGTTTCTGTAAAGGCTGTTCCTGGGATGAGCAAAGGCCAAAGTGTAGGTAAGATGGTGGTATCTTCACCAACAGCTAACTGGTGTCAGCGCTAAAAACAGGGGTCTTCAAAGCAGCCCCTAGACCACTAGCATCAGCATCAACTCAAAGCCAAGTTTTCAGGCCTCTCCCCAGGCTCTGAGTCAAACTCTAGAGCTGGGGTTCACACCGTGTCTTAATAAGAACTCTAACAATTCTGATCTAACAGCTAAAGCCCTAGAATCACTAAAGGTAAGTCCTGGAGAACTGGCGATCAAGACTGACCACATGGACATTCTCCAGAAAACAGCTGTGTGGAGTGGGGGCAGTCGTGGGATGGCAGGCTCCGCATCACCCCCAGGCCATCAAGTGCTGACATTACCTTTTGGTACATCTTGTGTTTGTACATGTAATGGATGGTGTCATTCAGGTCCTTCACATGAAGCTGAAAGGTAGGAAGACTGACATTCAGACCAAAAGATCAAAAGAAACCATTTGCTGGATAACTTGCTGATAAAGCCCTAACGATGCTCTGTAAATTCTGGCCCTTAGAAACATCGTGACCCACATTATCCCCACGTGGCATCTCACGTGTTTTATTTAAATACTGAAAAAGGGAGGGACACCTGAGTGGCTCAGTGGTTGAGCATCTGCCTTTGGCCCAGGGCGGCGTGATCCCCGAGTCCTGGAATCAAGTCCCACATGGGGCTCCCTGCATGGAGCCTGCTTTTCTCCCTCTGCCTGTGTCTCTACCTCTCTCTGTGTCTCTCATGAATAAATAAAATCATTAATTAATTAATTAATTAAATGTATGTATGTATGTATATACATACATATTTATAAAGTGGAAGAGAATGTGCTTTCTCATTCATTATTTTGTTTGAAGCATTCAGAGACCGTGTTCTACTATTGCATCTAGTGCCATGTACCCAAGTCTGGAGACGGTTTACTGAGGCTGGGATATGAAGAGAAATGCAGGGAACTCCTGCTGGAAGAGATGCTTCTGCAGATTCCAGGCTGCTAAGTGTGTCCCCTGCACTCACTGGCCACACACAGAAACCAGCCCAGGCAGGGCGTTAGAAACACACATTACAGTCTTAACATTGACACCAAGGTTGTGTATGCCAGCCTCCTACTCTGTCCTCACAATGTTAAGAAAAACTCACTTCGTCATTAGGAAACACCAGGATGCCAGTAGCTCCATGATCAGTGAAGTAAATGAACACATGATCCCGGGGGCCACTGTCGAGAGAGTGTGACAGACAAGGAGAGTCAGATTTGACCAGTTCCTATTCCCACTTCTCTGAAAAGTTGCTCTTACCGAAAAGTAATAAGAGGGTCGAGAACTACGGTCCCCCAACCAGACAGGATGAGGAACCCAGGGCCTGCTACCCGCCTCTGCCCTCAGCTCCCTCTGAGGGTGACCATGAACCCCAAGGCACATTCTAGAGCTTCGCAGTTATAAATTATGGTCAGGAAGGCAGAGACGTCTGCTGGGTAGCTTATCTTATGGACCAGGTGTGATTCAAAGAGTGGCATCCCTTGGTAACCAGGATGCACGCCAGCAGCCACTCTCTTTATCAGGTCTCCCCAAAATGAGGAATGAAGCCAGAACACACACAGAAAAAAAGTCCTTCAGCTCAGACATCCTCTCTTCCAGGCCCTTCCGCCTGCACATTGTCTGCCCACGGTGTGCCCTGCCCACCTGCCCATATACTCACTTGTGCTTACCTCTCCCCTCCAGCATGAGAGGAACAGTACCACCTGTTAAGGACCTGAGGCGGTGTGAAGGCATGTGACCACAGTCCTGACATCACTTAAAAGTGCTATATAAAGAGATGCTAAACATCTCCCACCCAGCCAGTGGCAGGCAGCAGGGCTGGTTTTGCCAGTACAAAGGCTAGTGCTGTGCATGTGGACATGCTCCTCTCCCCAACGGGCCAACCTCGAACACAGCACAGAACAGCAGCTCAGACCAATGTGACCGGCTGCGGGGCTTCAGGCCCGTCTCGGGTGCATTCCGCTGGCTGTGGAACATACCAGCACTAAGACCCATGGACAACAAAAAGCAATGGGTATAAGTAATAGGGAACATTTCATTAGTAATAATAATGAACCACCCCGGCTCCTAGAGTTTATTCAGTACAGAGATGGGCTCCCCCAAAGAAGCCACAGCTCTGCACAGCCTCTCTGAAGTCAGGACAAGGTAAAGAACGTCACCTATGCTGGGTGCCGAACCACTCAGGAAAGTGTGCTAGCTATAAAACAGACGTTACCTCTTCAAGACCTTTCCAGAACCTTTGCCCTTCACTGCTTCCTCGTCACCTCTCAACACAGCGAGGAAATTTTGTGGGGTGACATCCTATAAAGAATTGGAAGTCAAAATCAGATGCCGCTGTCATTCTAAATCAGAGCGTTTACTGACGTAGCAGACCACACATCTTTAAGGCTCGAGGTTTAAGAGCAGAGACTGGAACGAAGTAAGACCTGACACAAGGCCAGTGTTCCTGGAGCCTGTGCATGTCAAGTATCATCTTGCTGTTGGCTGATGGCAACTCCTGCCATCCCTTCCTGACCATTACGAAGTCCACGTGTAGAAACTCAAGACGCTGGTAGGTAGGGACTAACAGCAGAGAAGGAGTGAAGCATCTCAGAGGAAGAGCAGAGGGAGGAGAGCCGTTAGTACTGGGCCTCCCTTTGCATCCAGTTTGCTGCCTACAAAGTCAAATCCCAAGGATACTTGAGGTCCTTCAAGGTTAAAGATAACACCGATGCCTGAGCATTAAAAAAAAAAAAAAAACATATATAATATATATATATATAGAAAAGTATAAGGAGGGAGGAATCACCAAATTTTTTTTAATAATAAATTTATTTTTTATTGGTGTTCAATTTGCCAACATACAGAATAACACCCAGTGCTCATCCCGTCAAGTGCCCCCCTCAGTGCCCGTCACCCATTCACCCCAACCCCCCCGCCCTCCTCCCCTTCCACCAACCCTAGTTCGTTTCCCAGAGTTAGGAGTCTTCCATATTCTGTCTCCCTTTCTGATATTTCCTACCCATTTCTTCTCCCTTCCCTTCTATTCCCTTTCACTATTATTTATATTCCCCAAATGAACGAGACAATATAATGTTTGTCCTTCTCCCATTGACTTATTTCATTCAGCATAATACCCTCCAGTTCCATCCACATTGAAGCAAATGAATCACCAAATTTTCTATACCTACCATCTAAGAGTCCAGATGTTTCCTTATTTCACTATATTAAAGAATTTTCATGAAAATGGGATCATCTACATCACATGTATGATGTGTTCAGTTTAAGTGTACTTGAATTTAAAAGAAACTAAAAGAACTGCTGAATTTCAGATAAATGCTTCTTTAACTACCAGGAATATTAGTTCCTAAACGATGCTTCTGAAATCAGGAGAAAGAGACCATGGCAAACCACAAGACAGCATCACTATGGTGCTTTTTACAAATGTGTCAATTGCTTCAGCCTGTATCGACAGGGGATACAATTCAGAAGTGATTTGCATTAACAATTAATGAAAAACATTCTCAGCAAAATCCAGGGCTGCTCTGTGCCAGGATTGGTGCTGAGAAAATTGATTTTCAGAAAAGAGCATAGGTCTCTAATTAGGTTAGCAGCAAGACCTTAAGAAAATCAGGTATTACTGAAGGAAATCTACAATCAGGCTTACAGTGTGGGACGACCAGAATCTAAAGATCAGTAGACTACCACTTATTTCTAATTTGCTTTTCCAGTTTTTTTTTCCCTTGGCTTTCTTACAAAACTCTCAGAAATTACTCCTCAAGCACAAATCTTAACAGGAACACAAAGCACTGACCAGAAATAAATCAGTCTAGTGAGGTTCTGAACCTGGAAATGCAAGAATGAGGGGAGAATCATCGCTGGAATGAAAGCAAAGCCTTTGGCTCCATACCCATGCCCCTCACCTCGCCGGTATAATCCTTGAGGACACCCTGGTAGACATCCGAGCCATTGGGTCTGTTAATCACAATGCCTGGTGTGGGATTGCTGAAAACCAAAGGACACATTGGAAGCACATGATGGGTCACATCTCTGAAATATCTCTTCAAAAACAGGCCCCCGTTACATATAAAAATAGTCAGCAACCACGTTTGCTAAAGACATTTCTCATCGCCCACCCAGTCGCCAAGGTACTAAGGGTTTTAGACCTTTGGGGTGGGGGGGAATCTCAGGCAGCCCCCAGGTGTCGAGTTCTTGGCAGGAGCAACCAAGAGCTATCCTGGAAACTGAGGACAGGTGTGCCTGGCCTCCTGTGGGAACCACTGAGCATCCCAAGGGCAAGATCTGAGCAAAGATCTTTCAGAGCAAAACTACTTACAGAAAAAGACAGGGGGAAAGACAAGACCTTAATACAAGAGCTTAGGTGTGAAAGCCCAGGATGGAGTATGTGCCATCACAGGATCCCCATTGTTGGCTCCAGCCGGTAAGTCAGGGAGAAACCACGTCTGTAGACATAGTACCCACACTGCTGCCCCGGTCTCCTCAAGACATCAGAGAGGCAGGCATAAGAGAACTATTCATAAAACTGAAGTCAACAAATAATAAAAGCAAATAGGCCCAGAAAGAAGGGTAGCTGGATCTAACCTACAAACGAGAGCCTTTTATGCACGGGGCTGCAGAGGCGACTCCTCCGTGCTGTGCGCCCTGCTCTAAGGTCACAAACAGGCCATGCAGAACCCAATGTGAGATCTCCACGCTGAGGAGGAACTCACACTTTAAGCTCTTCCAGAGCACTGGCCCCCAAACACCCCTCGGCACTCAACCGCTGCCGCTGCCCCCTGAGCAATGTTCCAAGTTCTATGGAAGCAGCCTTTGAGGTTTCATCTGCACATCTGTTTTACGTTCTAATGTCTGTATTCTAATGCTGATTCTACAGATTCCTATGAGTCTGCATGCATCCTGGGGGGGCACCTAGGTGGCTCAGTCTGACTGGTGGTTTTGGCTCAGGTCATGACCTCAGGGTCCTGGGATTGAGCACCTCATCGGGCTCCCTGCTCAGTGATGAGTCTGCTTGTCACCCTCTCCCTTTACCCCTCCCCACACACACACATGCACAATCTTTAAAAACATCCTGAATTCACCACCAAGTTCAAAACGCAGCCTACTTACTCTTCAGAGTTGGCAATGTCATCGTACATCATCACAATGATCTGTTCATCAGGAATCCCATTTCGGTGAACAATCTGGTAGGCGTGGCATGCATCTGCCTGGGAGGAATGATTTTGTCAAGTGTTAGATTTTGCCCAGAAGGAGGCCAATTTTGGAGTTCTATGGAGCAACACATTCCTCCTCATGGAAGACATGCTCTGACTTATGCTTTACTGGTGAGGTATTTAAATTATCTTAAAACACAAACACCAATATTTTTTCAACTCAGTTTTTTAAACTTCCTCATTTCACTCAATATCCAAACTGTTATTCATCAGGCAGTTGGTGAAGATGTGGACAATACATGGACATGCACACAAAGCACCACCACTGGGTAACCAGGGCCTTCAAAAGCCCTGAATAATTTTTCCCTCTTCCACGCTATGTAAAAGTCTCCTGAAAGCCCTGAGATGGGTCTGAAGAACAGAATAACAAACGAAAGACCCAAAGCCTACTTCTCTATCAAATGGAATTCTTCTGATCTGAGTCACTGTGGCTGCCCATAGCAGCTATTCAGAGACCTGAGTGAAAACTCTTCAGCTCAGGAATGGAAAGGATGAATGTACTCTCTAGTTTAAAAAAAAAAAAAAAAAAAACCGCAACCACTGCAAGGCTGACAATATTAGGGATGAAAGAAAAGCTTTGTTAATGTGAGTCTCCGTCTGTAAGAGGCTGAAGACATTCTTTGCTTCCTTTTTCAGAAGACATGCAGTAGACTCCAGGACAAAGGAGTCATTTGAGGACCATGAAGAAAAATGTCCCCTAACGTTCTGCTTCTGTTTAATGATGTCTTTCCAGAAAAAAGACACAGGGGCACCTGGGTGGCTCAGTCAGTTAAGCATCTGACTCTGGATTTTGGCTCAGGTCATGGTCTCAGGGTCATGAGATGGAACCCCATGTCAGGCTCCAAGCTCGGCACGGAGTCTGCTTGAGATTCTCTCTCCCTCTCCCCCTGCTAATGTGCTCTAAGATAAATTTTAAAAAAGAATACAGACATAAATAAACATGAAGAGAGTAGGGAGCCCAACTATCTCTCTCTCTAAGGAAGACGGCTTTAGGAACTGGACCTTTTATACACATTACAGTCTTAAACAATCATCAGGGCAATAAAGCTCATCAAGCATTAATCCCAGCGTTTTGCCTGTAGATGCCTCACACATACAGACTTCACAGCCACAATGGGTGTTAAATACACCACTGCTGAATGTTGGGTGGGTAAATCCCGGGTTTGGCACTCGGGAGCTGTGGGATGAATGGATGGCTGAATAAATAATAAAAACTCACACATTTATGGACTTGTCAGGCATATACAGACCAGTGCTTGTCGGGCACTGCGCTGAGATTTTTCTATGCATTTTCTCATTTGATTCTCATAGCTACCCTACATGATCAAGGTAACGATTCCCACCTTGTAGATAAGGAACCTGGAGCTTAGGGAGGTGAGGTGACTGGCCCAAGTCACCCAGCTCAGAGTGAGATATCCCTGGCACTGACTCCAGAATCTGATGCTGCTTCACGCAGGAACAACAGGGGAATCGTGAAAGTTAAGCCCAGGGAAAGGGAGGAGCTGAAAATCATTAAAAAATAATTACTACTGGGGATCCCTGGGTGGCTCAGCGGTTTAGCGCCTGCCTTTGGTCCAGGGTGCAATCCTGGAGTCCCGGGATCGAGTCCCACATCAGGCTCCTGGCATGGAGCCTGCTTCTCCCTCTGCCTGTGTCTCTGCCTCTCTCTCTCTCTATGTCTATCATTAAAAAAAAAAAAAAAATTTACTACTTTACATCCATACAAATTGTTGAAATGTTTAAGTCCCCATAACTGTAACACCACCTGTAGTAGGAAAGATGTTCTACTACGGTGGTAGCCCCCAAAGATGTCCACATCCCGAAGCCCAGAGCCCATGACTAAGTTACATCATATGACAAAGGGGAATAAGACAGTGGATGGATTTAAGATGGCTCACTGGCTGACCCTAAAATAAATAGGGAGGTTATCCCGGATTAATCCAGTGGGCCCAATGTGATCACAGGCGTCCCTGTATGTGGAAGTAGGAGGCAGGAGAGTCAAGTCACAGGGATACAATGTAAGAATACTCAACTGTCACTGCTGGCTGTGAACACAAAAGAGGGGGCCGTGGGCCAAAGAATGAGGACAGCCTCTAAAAGTTGGAAAAAGTAGGAACATGGCACCTCCCCCAGAGTGCCCAGAAAGGAACACAGACTCATTTAAGGTTTTCTCACCTCCAGGGCCCTAACATAATAAACGTGCACTGTTTTAAGCCACTAAGCTTGTAGTGATTTGTTACAGTCACAACAGGAAACTAACCCACTGATGGTGGACGTTTACTGGGATTGGCACTTCCCTCAGGAAGACAGCTTGTCATCATCCAATCAAGTTGAATGAAGCTCATCCCCACCAACCCAGTGATTCTGCTCCCAGCAAAACCCTAGGGGAACTCTACCCATGTGCCATAGAGGATTCCTCAGAGCAAAACAAAACAAAATAAAACCAAGAACTAACCCAAAGGACCATCAATAGCTGGAAAAACAAACTGCTATGTGCTCCTATAACGGGATGCCATGAAGCTCACGTAGGCAGATGGGTGAATGAATGAAATACAACCCATGTTTCAAAACAGATGAATCTCAGGAACATAATGAGAAAAAGAGCAAGTCGTAGAAAAATACACTCACTATGATTATAGTTACTTAAAGGCCAAAACAGGCTAAAGTAAACACTATATGGTTTACAGTTAAATACTCACATGGTGAAACCATAAAGCAAAGTGAAGGAATGACTGACAGAAAATTCAGGCACTCACCCTCTGACAAGGAGAGCAGGGGGAATCAGAGGATAGGGTCTTAGTAATGTTCTTTTTTTTTCTTCAGTCTGATACAGATATTCATTTTCTTATTACTCTTTAACTTGCACACACATGTGATATAGACAATTGTTTGCTTTCTTTTTCATTAAAAAAAAAAAACATCAAACCAATATGATGTCAGATTTCACCCACCCTTATGATACAAGTGGGCAGGCATACCACCTGCTCTCCTTGGTGACAAGGCATCCTAATTACTGATTTATTTTGTCGGAAGCCAGGTTCATTTAAAAAACTAGAATAAAAACAGGAATAAATCTAACAAAAGTACAAGACTTGCACACTGAAAATTTGAAAATATTGTTGAGGTAAATTAAAGATCCAAATAGAGAGATTATCTCATATTCATGGATTGGAAAACTTACTGCTATTAACATTAAAAAAAAATGATCAGCAGGCTTTTTTGCAGAAGTCAACAAGATGATCCTAAAACTTACAGGAAATTACAAAAAAAACCTAGAATAGCCAAAACAATTTTGAAAAAGTTAGAGGACTTTCACTTCCTTTCATATACTGTATGTATCATATACTCTATTCCTACAATAAAGTAAGCTAGAAAAAAGAAAACATTAAGAAAATCATAAAGAAAATACATTTAGAGTATTACTGTATTTATTGAAAAAGATCTGCACATAAATGGACTCATGCAGCTCAAACCCATATTGTTCAAGGGTCAGCTGTACACTGGGGAAAGAAGAGTCTTTTCAACAAATGGTGCTGGAACCATTTGGAAATCCACATAAAAAGATGAACTTGGGCCTTCATTTCACACCATTCACAAATATTAACTCAAAATGGATCGTAGACTTCAATGTTGGGGCTAAAACAAACACTTCTGGAAGATATATTAGGAGAAAGTCTTCAGAGTTATAACTGCCAAAGATGTAGATACAACACCAAAAGCATGGCCTATAAAAGAAAAAAACTGATACACTGGACATCATTAAATTTTTTAATTTTCAAAAGACACTGTTAAGAATTTGCAAAACTTGTATGAATAGAGAACTTGCATCTAGAACATCCAAAGAACTATAGTAACCCAATTAGACAATCCAAAGAAAAATAGAAGATTTAGGGGGTTTTGTTTGTTTTAGAAATTTTCATTTATTTATTTCAGAGGGAGAGAGAAAGAGCAGGGGAGGGAGAAGCAGATTTCCCGCTGAGCAGTGAGCCTGAGCAGGACTTGATCCCAGGACCCCAGGATCATAACCTGAGCCCAAGGCAGATGCTTAACCAACTGAGCCACCTGAGTGCCCCCCAAATGGAAGATTTTGAATAAGCATTTCACCTAAGATACACAAATGGCTAAAAAGCACATTAAAGATGCTCGATATCACTAAGTTATTGGGACATGTGAATTAGAACCACAAGGTATCAATTCACAGCGAGACAAACAGTAACAAGGGTTGGTGAGGATGTGAAAACCAGGACCCTCCTCCATCCACTGCTTGTGGGAACATAAAACGGTGTCGTCCTTTGGGAAAGCAATTAAACAGTCTCTTAAAAGGCTATGCATGAAGTTACCGCATGACCCAGCAGTTCGATTCTTTCTGCACAAGAGAAACAAAAACATTTATCCGAGGGAAGATGTACAGGAAAACATTCTTGGCGACATTATCCCTGATAAGCAAAAAAAACGTACACAACCCACATGCCTGTCAACTGTAAAGGGGCAGATACAATGTGGCCGATACCTACTATTAATGTTCTTGCAATAAAAAGGAACAAAGTGCTGACATGCTCCAAGGCAGATAAGCTTCTGAAACGCTTATGCCAACAGAAACAAAACACTATAGGTCGAATGACTGCATTTACATGAAATGTTCAGAAATGGCAAATTTATAGAGACAGAAGGTGTATTTTTAGTGCTTACCCAGGGCTGGGGGCGCCTGAGGAAATGGGAACGTTCCAGCACCGGTTCGTGTTGGCATCTGTACACCCCGGTACGCTGGCCTGGCCGAGCCGCCAGAGTTGCACGTGTCCCATCACATGCCCGCGGCGCCCCGTACAGTTTGGACTCCTCGCCGCCCCCAGAGGCACACGCTTTAAGCCCATTTTGAAAAGGGGTACAAAGTCCCGAAGGGCTCAGAGACTCAGACGGGGCCCTCCCTCCTCAGGAAGCACCGTGAGTCAGTCGCGGTTCCCTCCCGCGCCGCGACGTGCTGGGCTGCCTCTAACCCCGTTAACCAAGTCAGTGGGGCCCTGGGTCAGCCTCCACCGCCTGACTGGCACCGCGGTGGTACGGGCCAGAGGCCGCGCGAATGCTGCCCTTGAGCGTCCAGCCCACACACATTCCCCGGTGCCTCCGAGGCGGCACGGGAGGGGGCGCTGGGCAGAGGCGAGGCCCGCCGGCCCACCCAACAGGCTTGTGGCACGCCGACCCCCGGGGGTTGGCCGCGCTCCCCCACAGCCTGCTGGCGCCACCTCCACCTCAGGCCCACCGTCGGCCAAACAGGGGCAACCGCCTGGGGGCAAAGGTTAGATTCAACTGGCACGCTCCAGTCACGGTCACTGCAATGGGTCCGCTTCCAAGCCGGGTAAGCAAGCGCCTGAGAAGGGGCCTCGCAGTCCACTGCCTGACGGGGGCACAGTGATCGCTTCCTGGCATGTGCTGAGCACGGCGAGGCAGGGGCTTTGTAGAGTTGCCCCCCGCCCGAGCCAACCATGAAGTCAACTGTTCCAGAGGAGAACTGAAGATTTAACATGAGATGGGACAGGGGCAAGGGGAACTAGGGAACTTTCTAGAATGATGAAAGGGTCCTAAAACTAGACTGTGACAATGCTTGCAAACTGCAGGCATCTCCTACAACTCATGGAACTACACAATTATAACAGGTGAATTGTAGGACACGTGAATGTCTGCCTCAATAAAGCTGTTATTAAAAAGGAGGATCGGGGGCAGCCCGGGTAGCTCAGTGGTTTAGCGCCGCCTTCAGCCCAGGGCCTGATCCTGGAGACCCGGGATCGAGTCCCACGTCGGGCTCCCTGCATGGAGCTTGCTTCTCCCTCTGCCTGTGTCTCTGCGCCTCTCTCTCTCTTTCTCTCTCTCTGTTTCTCATGAATAAATAAAATCTTCAAAAAAAAAATGGTGATCGAGCACATTTTTAAAAAATCTGTAAAACAAAAGGTGGTCTTTTAGAAATGGAATGACTCTGCTGTTCGGTTCTCCATCACATCAGTCTCCCAATTCCAACAAGTGCGAGTCTCCTAGCTTCTCCCTCTCCTCCCTGCCTCCACTGCCCCCACTGATCGGCCTCCCAGCCCCCAGGACAGATGTTCTCAAAGCTTCTGGAAGCAGGCAGTAGCCCCTTTCTCTCCACTGCAACCCAACTCCAGACCAGCAGTGAGGCGGGGCAGGTGCCAGCATCCCACAGCTCCCACCCCTGCCAATACCCGGCAAACCACCTTCCCCCTGGGAGCCCCAGGGGCCAGCCACGGTCTCAAAGTCTCCCAACCCCCATCGTCCCGGTGCACGTGGCTCACATGTGCCTCTCCTCCCCACTCCTGTCACCCTGAAAGGCCCTGTGTGACAATGAACTTCACCTGCAATCTACTTCGACAGCCACCTCTGCTGCTCCAGCCCATGTCTTCCTCCTCCCCACACTCAGACCTTTGCCCCTGAGAGGAACTCTCCTCAACCCAGGTCCTCCCCTGGTGCCTATTTCCGTCCCCTTCACAAGCCTGTCCCCAGGTGCTGCCTGCACTTCAGGACCTACCTCTCTCCCCTTGGTCACAGCCACGGCAGAAGCCTGTCCTCACGAGGCCTTGCCCGCACCCCAACTCAGGACCCAGTGCAAACTGGCTACCAGCCACACCTCAGACCAATCCCCTCATCCGTTAATCCCAGCCAAAGATGGAAAACGGAGAAACCCAATTTGGCCAAGACAATACATGATTTAAATAACCATCATTGGGGGCGCCTGGGCAGCTCAGTTAAGCAACTGACTCTTGAGCTCAGCTCAGGTCATGAGCTCAGGTCATGATCTCAGTGTCATGAGATCGAGCCCCAGGTCCTCCGGCACTGCACTCAGCGGGGCATCTGCGTGACATTCTCTCTCCCTCTGCCCCTCCCCCCAACATGTGAGCACGCTCACTCGCGCTCTCTCTCTAAAATAAATCTTAAAAAAAATAAATAAATAACCATCATCAAGCATATAGCAAAGTGCTCAGCAGCGAGCACTGTTAATCCAGTGCTTGGATTAACAAGGAAAAGGTACACTTCCATAAAAAAATGTAAGTTTATAAGTCTGTACAGGTTCTACGAGGAAAGTTCGTTGAAGTGCTCTTAATGATTAGGCTCCAAAGTCAAGAAATTAAATGCTGGCCACAGCTGAGAACAGAGCAGGCCAGCAGGGCTACAGGCTGGGGTCAGCCTGACTCAGCATGGCAGTTCCTCCACAGGGAGGCCAGGATGAGTATTTCACTCTGTGGCCACCTCTTTTCTTTGCTTCCCTTCATTCTATTTCAATATTATTTCGCCCATGGAAACTAGCGATGCTTTAAAAAAAAAAAAAAAGAAAGAAAAAAGACTTCTCTAGGAGCAAAAGGTAAATGGAGTCCTATACTTAATAATGTTTAACCAATCATATATATATTTTTTAAGTTGATTGTGTACAAACCAGTGTGGTGGATGAATGAGCCTATTGACTATCTGGTGACCTGTATTTAATACTTTATCTTTTGAACTTGTGGTTAGAGAGGAAGGAAAAAAATCGAGAGATGATTAGTTTTGTACTCAGGTTGCACCTCTGTAACGGGGTCAGGTCTGTGGTTAAGCATTAAAAGGTAAAGGGATCACTCTGCCATTACAACAACTTTTCAATCAAGCCAAATTTCTTGTTCAACTAACATAAAGGCCACTCACAAAGTGGGTCATTCAACAATCGTTATGTCTTAGAGCCGGTAGAGAGTTCTAAACCAAGCCCCTACTTAACAGATATGAGAACCAAGGGCTGGGAGGAACACACACAAGGTGGCACCACAAAGCCGCCAGGTGTGTGAAGACACTAGGCCTGTGCCGTCCTGTACGGCAGCCTCCGGCCACACAGAACAACTGAAACTTCAGCTGTGGCCAGTCCAAACTGAATACACTGTGAATGTACATGCATACCCAATTCTGGTGATTTGGTGAAAACAAACATGTAAAGTATCTCATGATTAACTTTCTTTAGTGATTACAGTGAAATGATGATAGTTTGCATATGTTGGGATAAATAACAGTAAAGTTAATTTCACCTGTTACTTTTTACTTAAAAAAAATGTGGCTGGGGTGCCCGGGCAGCTTGGTCACTGTGGAGTCCGACTTGATTTCGGCTCAAGCTGGGATCTCAGGTCCCTGGAACTGAGCCCTGCCCTGGGCTCTGCACTTAGCAGGGAGTCTGCATGGGATTCTCTCTCTCCCTGGCTCTGCCCCTCTATGCTCACTCTCTCTAAAATAACAAAGCTTTAAAAACAAAACATAAACAAAGGAGGTCTTGTGATACAAGGACTCAGGCCTGGTTCTGTCTGCGCTCAGCCTGCGTGTGGCCTCGGGCGAGGCTCCTCCTCTCCTTTACTGCTCCGTTTCTTCATCTGTAAAACGAAGGCCTCAGGCCAGTGGGTCTCGGGGGGACACGGGGCAGAGGCTGGAGACACTTCTGGTGGTCACGGCGGGTGGGGACGCTCCAGGTATCTGGTGTGTGGAGGTCAGGGTGCTGCCGGACACCCCACGGGACCGGGGCAGCCCCCACAGCAGTTACCTGGCCCCAAACGTCGGCATGCCAGGGCTGAGGAACCTGGCATGAGACTCGGGTGACCCCACAGGGGCTATTTTGAGGAAGTGCCAAACTGTTTTCCAAAATGACTGTACTATCTATGATTCCCCATTTCTCCACATCCCCACCGACACACATACTTCTGCCAGCCCTGAGGAACATGAAGGACTTCTTTAAAAGTCTGTTCTACTGGGAATCCCTGAGTGGCGCAGTGGTTTAGCGCCTGCCTTTGGCCTAGGGCGCGATCCTGGAGACCCGGGATCGAATCCCACATCGGGCTCCCGGTGCATGGAGCCTGCTTCTCCCTCTGCCTGTGTCTCTGCCTCTCTCTCTGTGTGTGACTATCATAAATAAAAAACTTAAAAAAAAAAAAAGTCTGTTCTGACAATGTCCAGGGCTGTTTACAGAATACCAGCGTCATAAAGAAAAACATGAGCCGCTGTCTCACCTGGTGCCTGTAGTTATACCAGCCGTTGGAACCTGCAACAATCACCACCCAGTGCTTGCCCCCGTCCTCGGGATCATCTATGGGAACAGCACCAATTCCCAGGACCATGCTGAGCAACACGGCCACTTCCCAAATCATCCTGTGCCTCAGAGTTCAATGGCAGAAATCTGGAAAGAGAAAAGCAGAATCAAGCAAAAAGGAATGACAAAAATAGACGACTACTGTTGGCCTCTAAGAAAACATCACAGCAAATGAGTCAGAGATGAAACTATTTGGTCATCAGACAGAACAGACTAAGGATAAAAACGATGACAGTGCGGAATTTTATCTTTACCTCTGTAGCCCCTTTCCCCACGGGAAGAAGGATCTACCCACTACAGGTTGAAGTTATGGGTAAAAACCAAAAGAATACCAGGATAATCCTTTTGGCCATGTTAAAAGGTTTTAACAAGTTTTTGTTACAACTTGGAATACAGTAGATAAAACCAACAAAATTCACTGACTGGAAAAATGTCCACCACGTAGTATGAAATGTCTGCAAGACAAGATGACACACGTAAGTAATGTGTGCCTACAACGTGTAGAAGGCAGGCATAGAAATTTGGTAGTTATTGATTGGTGGTAGGTGGAATTCAGGATGATTTTTTTTCCCCTCCTCTCTTTCTTTTTACCATAATTAACTGACGTTACTTATGCAATACAGTTCATAAAAATTCAATGCATGTTCAATATAAGCACCGAGGGACAATTTAGAAGTTCACAAGTGAGATACCTGGATGAGCTATAGTCAAACAGTGGCAGCCCAAATTAACGTCTTTATACAACACTCCTAACCCATCTACGGGTACGCAGAACAGCAGGCAGGGCAAAGGGTTCATTCCTTATTTTACAGAAAGGAGAAGTCAAAGCACACAAACTTGTCCGATACTCAGTTAGCCAGCTCTGGCCAGAGACCAGAACCTATGCCTTCTGAGTCCCTGGCTCAGCCTCTCAGTGACACGGCCCCACACTGAGACTTCATTCTTAATGAAGTACGTGCCCGATTTTATGCTTTACTGCCAAAAGTTTCAAGTTTTAAGGCACAAAAGGCAGCACTCTGGCCGAGTCCTGGCCACAGCACATCACCCAGATCAGACATGTGCTCCGCATCCTGAATGTGTTATTCTAAAGAAACAGCCTTCCTGTGACAGACGCTAGGCCTGTGACACTGAGATAAGAGGGAAAACAGTTTCTGAGATGTACGGACACAGCAACAAAGTCTGCCAGGCTGACCTCTGACTCCTATGCCCTTCGTCAAACAGAGCTCATTCACTTACCTGCTCGTTTGTTCACCCGGGTGGCCCTAAACATGAGGGAATAGGAAGCCCCGAATCCGATAAAAGTTTAAAAACCTAAGAGCACCTTAGGCCAGTGCTTCTCCAACCTGACTGTGACCCACATCCTCTGGGGATGCAATGCTGATTCAGTAGGGCCTGTGCTGGGCCTGAGACTCTGCATTTCTAACAAGCTACAGGCAATGCCCAGAACTCCACTCATTAACCTTGGCTCTAGTTCATGTCTGGCCCAAAGCCCTGTGAGCTGACACTGTTCCTTACCTGCGACCCCCTGCTCCTTACCTGCCACCCCCTCCCTCTCCAGTATCCCCTTCAGGAACTCAGTTCTTTTTTTTTTTTTTTAATTTTTATTTTACATAAAGCTCCATGCCCAACGTGGGACTTGAACTCACGACCCTGAGATCAAGAGGCACAGGCTCCATGGACTGATCCAGCCATGCGCCGCATCCAGGAACTCCATTCTTAACGCGTAAACCAAGTTGGTGCTAGATTCACATTTCTCTAGCGTGACTGCAAGGTCACCCACCAATGAAAGGGTAACCACAACAAGGTACCCTAGATCTGTTTTTAAGCTTATTCTGAAATGGCCATGCTTTTTGTTTGTTTTGTTGTTTTCGTTTTTAGAACAGTACATGGCAGATAAGGCCAGGGAACAGACGAGGGCAGTGGACTGCCCAGGCCACCTGGTGCCAGAACCAGCCGGCCACCTGAGGATGCTGTCCCATATCCTCCTGGCCCGAACGGGAGGTAACAGCAGAGATGACAGTGACTACAGAAGTGACCCCACCAGCAGCTCTTTGATGCTGAGATCGCCTAGCGGCCTTCTGACTGCCGTAGAGCCTCCTGGGAAGCCTTTCCCTAGGGTAGCAGCTGGCACATGTTGTCTCTAAAGAGCTGGACAGTAAATATTTCACCCTGCAGCTCTCAGCTTCTCCTCACAACTGTTCAGTTCTGCCCTGGTACCATGGAAGCAGCCAGACACCATAATAATAAACCAGTGGCTGTCGAAATGTTGTGATAAAACTAGGACAGGTGGTCTCTGGGGCCCACCCTGGGAGTGAGAATATGCCCTCAGCCCACATGACCAGAACAGCCTAGCTCGTTCTTATCATCTTCCATCAGCAATCATTAGACAGGCTCCTAGTTTGCATACCAGTCTCTTCTGAGTCTGGTTCATGTGACTTTTTTTTTTTTAAGATTTTATTTATTCATGAGAGACAGCGGGGGCGCAGAGACACAGGCAGAGGGAGAAGCAGGCTCCATGCAGGGAGCCTGACATGGGACTCGATCCTGGGTCTCCAGGATCATGCCCTGGGCTGAAGGCAGCACTAAACCACTGAGCCACCTGGGCTGCCCATTCATGTGACTTAATCATGAAGAGGCTCATTCCTGGGGAGGCCCTGGCATGTGACTTTCCCCCTTCATATTTAGGAACAAAAAAGGTATGTAAAATACCAGAATCAAAAAACTGGCCTGAGGGCCGCCTGAGTGGCTCAGTGGTTGAGCACTTGCCTTTGGTTCAGGGCATGATCCCTGGGTCCCGGGATCAAATCCCACATCAGGCTTCAGGGAGCCTGCTTCTCCCTCTGCCTGTGTCTCTGCCTCTCTCATGAAAAAATAAAATCTTTAAAAAAAAAAAAACAGAAAACAAAACCTGGCCTGACTGTGAACCAGAGAAGTGACAGCACCAGCTTAAGTGCCAAAATTGGCAACCACCACAGCACGTACTGAAAAAGCACCGCCAGGTTATTTTTACAAATTCAAAATCATCTGTCATTCTTCTACTAACATACTAGCATGCTACCCCTCAGTGAGGAAAAGTGCCTTATTAATACACACGTGATACTTTCACAGTTAACATTTGGCAATGGTTTGTCTGCCACTTCTGTTTCTTATAAACAGAGTATGGTGCCTTGAACAGAATAGCAAGCTAAGCGCCTCACAACATGACACTGATCAGAAAATGTCACTTAAAAAGCACATATGTTAAGTGGCACCTGGGTGGCCCAGTCAGTTCAGCATCCAACTCTCGATCTCAGTTCAGGTCTTGATCTCAGGATTATGAGTTTGAGCCCCGTGTTGGGCTCCATTCTGGGTGTGTAGCCTACTCAAATTAAATTTTAAAAACACATTATGTTAATACCATTTGGGGAAACATCCTGGGGCCTGAGGTGAAGATCAGATGTGAGTGTTATATAATCTTTCCATTAGCCTCAGCAAGAACACATCTCAAAGCAGCCAGCCTCATTCAGCCATTTCCTGATTAGCAATGTTCTTGATGATGTCAAAGCCTCAAAACAAAGTCCCAAATGATCCTGCAACATGTCCTTGAGTCTATCAAAGAGAAAAGTTCACAAAGACGGAGTAAGCAATCTCTGCCCAAGTAGCTCTTTGCGATGGGTATTTTCTGCAGTCTCCCCCCTTCCCACCCATCCAACACACATAGCCTGAGCACCCAGAGTGCTCACAAGCACAAAGAGGGAACCAAAGGACAGAACGCTCCACTGAGCTGACATGTAAATCCACACATTGTCAGAGGGATGATCGTTAGGGAAAAACTAAGGCAGGAGGAGTTCCGTAGCTGTGGGAGGCATTATTTTTCAAAAGGGAAAGACTTTAAGGAGGCGAGGAGATGGGGCCCCTGGGTAGCTCAGTGGTTGAGCATCTGCCTTCGGCTCAGGTCATGATCCCAGGGTTCCGGGATCCAGTCCTGCATCCGGGCTCCCTGCAGGGAGCCTGCTTCTCCCTCTGCCTGTATCTCTGCCTCTCTCTCTGTGTGTCTCATAAATAAATATATAAAATCCTTTAAAAAAAAAAAAAGGGCGGGGGGAGGTGAACCCATTTCTAAAAGCAAAATGCTGGAGCAAGAAACACAGTCATCTACAGAGCGCTGCCTCGTTAAATCAGTTACCGTACCCCCTTAGGATGGGACACTGTGGAGCCTTTAAAAAGACAAGGTAGGGCAGCCTGGGTGGCTCGGTGGTTTAGTGCCGCCTTTGGCCTGGGGTGTGGTCCTGGAGACCCGGGACCGAGTCCCACGTCGGGCTCCCTGCGTGGAGCCTGCTTCTCCCTCTGCCTGTGTCTGTGTGCCTCTGTGTGTGTGTGTGTGTGTGTGTGTGTGTGTCTCTGATGAATAGATAAATAAAATCTTAAAAAAAAAAAAAAGACAAGGCAGATTTCCATGGGCCAAGAGCAAGAAGATCTGGGGGCTGTACAGGGTATGTTCTGAGTGTGCAAACCACCTGTGAGGAGAAAAGGTGTCCCCCAGGGTGACCTGTGTTGAGATGCTTGCTGCACAGGACGGCAGAGTGTGTCTGCGATAAACCATGCAACGTACACTTCACACGATCCTCATGAAGCTCCGTGAACCAGCCTCGTGGCTCTGCTCACAGAGCTGAGATAAGGGAGGCTGGATGGAGAGAGGAATACGCTGGCAAGCAGCCCTACTGGGGGTGACACACAGATGTGATCCAGAGACTGCTTTTTCTACCATACCTCGTCGCTTGTCACGAAAAGAGTTGTTCATGTGAATGTTTGCGAGACCGGGTAACCACAAGCAGGCGCCCAGGACGCTCCACCCAGGGCTCAAGCCCTTCCTCCAGCAGGTCACCCCACCACCACCCCACCATGCTCTCTGCCACCCTAGTATTTTAAGGCAGTTGTGGGCGATCTGCGTAAAGGGCTCTCCTCTTAGAAGAGCCCTTCAAAGGAGAACCTGAACCACACAAAGTCAAGACCAGCAGCCAAGCCTTTACAGATGAATTTTACCAGCCTCCAATGACAAGTCCTCTGCTGTTCCCACTTTGCCCTGTGTCCCTCTCAGGCTACAGGGCTACCCAAGGTCATAATTCCATTAAAGGACTCCACTTGACTTAAAGAAGTATATTAGCAGGTGAAGTTAAACTCTTGAGAGGTCTGGGACAGAACGCCCATTCTAGAGAAACCGTCAACAGCAATCCAGGTAATGAGACCCCAATCACAGGACTATCTAAGCAGCACCGTCAAGTTCAAACCAAGGTCTGACACCAGAGCCCACACTGCTAACTACCACCAGGTATGACCTCTCACCACCAGTCCTGATTGGCTACCGGCCCTGGGTTAGAAACAGGGAACCATCAAAGCCAAGCAAAGCAGCCAGCTCGACAATGACACCTGAAAAGAGCCTTCCAACCGTGAACACGTCTTTGATCCTGCTCGCTACTCTCCAGAGGCTTACAGTAAGATCAACAAAGGCGGACCCTGATTGACCCATGCAGGAGAGACAAGGGTTGAGGATAAGGACCCCTCCTTGACCAAAGTGAGCCAAGCGCCTCTGAGCCCCCATCTCAAGCAGATCTTGGCCTGCTAAGTTCAGTTTACCAAGAATCCTATGAGAATGGCCCACTTTGACATCTAATCAAGTTCCTGTCAGTAACTTTCCATCCGCTGACTCTCTCAGCCCATAAATCCCAGCTATCCTTGATGTATTTGGACCTGAGCTCATATCTACACTGAAGTTTCTGGCCCTAATCTAACTGCTGGAAGAAACTCTGTCTTGCTGTTTTTAACAAGGATTTAGAGCAATTTCTAACACAGGACATATAGCTGCTAAGTCTGACAAAACCCCTCCCTCTGGGCCTTTGTCTCCCTATGCAATAACATGGTAGAACTAAATTATTAAGGTCAGATTCAGTTCTCAAATCTTTTTAACTTCCTGTTTGAAGAGTGACACTAAAACAAAACCCAACTAGCTCTTATCTCAAATCTCCAATGAAAACTGTAGTCTATTCAGGTTAATCAATATTTTTCCTATGGAGAAAATTTCTGATTCAGTGGCAAACTGGATTCTAAATGAAAGCATGTCTTTTGGTTCCCTAATTCTGATTCTATGCAATATTTTCCTTTATATCTCTGTAAACTGGATAATGGCAATGCAAACAATTCCTATTTAAAGACACACAAATGAATTATATCAAATGGAGGTTGGGTTGGTTTCCAGTAGAAATAAGCCAGCTTTGCCTGCCATTGGCCCATTCATTTCATTATTTCTGACCCTGGAGTCTCCTTTGATCTGGATGCAACCATCACATTACGATTCCTCATTGTAAGTTAAATGTAATCTTTAATACGTGTTCACTTTTATACATATCTGTATTGAGTGATGACTTGACCTCTTAAGAATTATCTTTTGGGGTGCCTGAGTGGCTCAGTCAGTTAAGTGTCCGACTCTTGGTTTCAGCACAGGTCATGATCTCATGAGTCATGGGACGGAGCCCAGAGACGAGCTCTGTGCTCAGCAGGAAGTCTGCTTGAAGAATCGCTCCCTCTGCCCCTCCTCTCACTCTTTCTCTCTAATAAATAAATAAATATATATATATATTTATATATATATTTATTGATATATATATATTAAAATCTTCTTAACATTACAAAAAGTGTGAGCAACTAAATTGTATTTCCAGATAGACACAATCAATAAACACTTTTAAAATCTCTTCAAGGTCATTTAGAAGAATTTTGGAATCTAGCGAAGTAAAATTTGCCCAATCATTAACAGTTTTTCCATTTTTATTTTCACAGCTACCTGACACCTGAATTCCTTTTACCAAAATTACTATTTTTGAAACCTGGTATCAAGGTAGTTTGTAGTATTTTCCCACAATGACTGAATGACTTTTCTAGCCAGATGTGGAATTCTTAAAGTTAAAATTTTGTTATAATTTTTATTGCAAGAAATTGAAGGGTAAACAACAGAAATATACCAAGTATAATGAAAAACATCTGGCAACTATCATAAAGCCCATAAGCTGTTAATATTTTGCAAATCTGTGAACTCTCTTTTCCCATAAAATAAAATATTACAGATGAAATTTCTTCCCACGTCCCATCCCATTCTCCCCCCACAGAAGATAACGCACGGTCACAAGTTAATATTTCTTTTCATTCACTTTATTATACTTTTAAAACATATATGTCCACTTTATAAACATTCCCTTCTAAAGGACATTTAGGCAGTTTCCATTTATAATAATTGTTTGTCATCATAAACAATGTTGCAATAAACATCCTAATACTACTGGCATATAAATGTCTGTTTCTTAGGCTACTTTCTGGAAGCAGAACCACTTGGTCTTAAGGTACACATACTCACTTTGATAGTAGCTATCCAGTTCTAAGACACACTTCTGCCCGTAGTGAATCTTTTCCTCAAATGTCTATCATCTCTTAATAATATCAGACTTTATAATTTGTAATCTGCTGAATATGAAGTGATCAAATCATGGGTGCAATTTCCACTTCCTGGAATGCAAGACAATTTGAGTCTTATCCTTAACCACATCCTCGATACTTGTGACAATTTCCCATCATAACCTGGGATTTGAATTATGGTCTACAAAGCAACCTCTGCAGGTAAAAAAAAAAAAAAAAAAAAAAAAAAAAGTGCTGGGCAGTTCCTCAGAGGATGGATGGGTTGGAAAACTCAAGAGACAGCATTCACTTCAATATACTTTTACTGAACAGTACTGGATATGGTGTATTTCACCTCCTTAACAATTCAAAACTTTCTCCTCTCTTCTCCTTTCCCACTGCAAAGTGGGAAATTAAAGCCTCAGCAATTCTCCTGGGAATTACTGCTTAGCTCCCTATTGCGACCCTCTCCAATACTTTTTCACACCACAGACTACCTAAGATACACATCTATTAAACTCACCTTCCCAGGCTTTCAGGACAAAATCTAAATCTCTTAGAGCAGCACAGAAGGCCCTGCAAGCTGTACCACTCTACTCTCATGAATCGGAGCTCATGAAATCTATAATCCACATGAAACCCTTTGTTCAAACCAGGCTCCAGGACTCCAGGTCCAAAATCGTGGCTCTTTCCATGCCTTCACCACGCTGCTTTCCTGGTGAAACCTTCTCCTTCATCATAGTAGCTTCTGCCTATCTCTCAAACTCCACTCAGGAATCCCCTTCCCTGCAAAGATCTACCTCTTCCCAGAAACCAGGATTAGATGCTTGGAACAGGATTAGATGTCGCTCCTGTGCAAACCTGTAACACTGGAATGATCCTCTATAGACTGCCTCTCCCCTTTACAAATAACCCCTGCTCAATAAATAAGGCTCAACGAACGTTTGCTAACTAATGGAACCCTACAGAAAAAGAAAAGAAAAAAGAAAAGGAAAAAAAAAAAAAAAAAAAGAGCTGAGCTACTGCACTAGCACCACAGGGCAAGTCTCAAACCCCTGGCGTTTATTTTCACCTATAAAATGAAGCGCATGATACAAAGTTCCTTCTCCCAGGCCCCAGACTCCACAGTGCGCGGCACGAATAACCCCTGTACCCACAGTCTCATTGCCAATAGTTAAGGGGCAGGGGCCCTAACCAAGCTTTCAGTTTCACGCCGAAGCTAATCACCCTGAGTTCCACGCGCTCAAGCCCGGGACCCAGGGCACCCCTCACTTCTCGGGAGGGATGTTCTCGCGGTTGGGTATTTCTGTCGTCGTGGGCAACAGTTTTCCCGCGGAGGCTAAAGAACTGGGTGGAAAGAGGTGCCATCACCGCATCCCCAGCCCCGAGCGCCTGAGCTGCTGCCGAGCGGGGGGGGGGGGGGGGCGGAACCGAGCGCCAGACCCGCCCCGCGCGCCCCGGCGGGCCCCGGCCAGGCCCGTCCCCGCGCGCCCGCGCCTCCCGCCGAAGCTCGCACGGCCAAGGAGCTCCAGGCACCGACGGCCACCCTCGGGCGCGGGCGAGAGGTCGCAGCCTTTCCCGCGGGATTCACCGGTTCCCGGAATCTCTTTCGCAAGGTGAGGAACAGATTACTCAGGGCGGCGGGAACTGAAAATCCCTCCCGTGCGGCCCAGAGCCGCGGCAGGCGGACGTCCCCGGCCCGGGCGGCGGGCGCCTGGCCCGGATCCCGGCGGGGGCGCGCGGTTACCTGCAGGAGGACGGCGGCGGCGGCGGCGGCGGCGGCGGCGGCAAGACCGTGGGAACTCCGCGCCACGCGCAGCCTCAGACGCGCACCTCGTGACGTCGCCCTGCAGTGATTGCGGAGCAGCCGCGGGCCCCGGGCTTTAGAGGCCTAGGGCGCCGCGGTGATTGGTGAGCCTTCGGGGGCGGGTGTCTGCGGGAGCCAATGGGAGGCTGAGGGGGCGGGGCCCGAGGGCCAGACGGACTACAAATCCCAGCATGCACGGGTCGGGCTTCTGACCCACCCCTCGCGAACCCTGGGAGAAGCTTGGGGGGTGAAATGGGGGTGGGGGGCCGGGGGGCGTGGGGCCTGCCTGGAGCCACGGTAATTCCAGAAACGTCCAGCGAGGGGCCGAAAGCAGCCCGCCGAGCGCTTCAACCTGGTGGTTTTCGAACTTGTCGCACTTTGGAATCATCTAGGGAAACTTGAAAAATACTGATGCCCCTGTCCCTCCAGACGTTCTTCGTCTTGAGTTCCTTGGTCTGCACGTGCCCTGGGTTTTGGACTCTTTAAGGATCCCCGGGTGATTTCGGAGGTGCGGATTCCCTTAACCCTGGAGCTAGCCCCCTGAGACATAGGCACGATTATTGTAGCTCCTGCTTTACAGTTAGGACGATTCGGGGAGGTTGAGCCATGGAAAGTAAATTAATCTTCTGAAGATCACATAGCCCTAAAGTGGCAGGGCCAGAACTCACCGCAGGGCAATCTGTCTAGCTCCGGGATCCTGACCTCTTAATCCCTATGCAATGCTATTTTTCAGATGTTTGGTATAATTGTTTCATAGGGAAATGGGGAAACAGTATAGGTACCTGTGCCTGTGGTAGAGCACAGTAAATTGAGTTGAGTGGAATTGATGTGAGCGAATAAGTGCAATCCCACCCAAGCTCATCAAGTGTAAGATCTAGGGCAACATTCACGGGTTGTGTCATTTGATCTTCTTTTATAATCTTTTTTTACAGTAAGTCATGCATCAGCATATTGCCCTGAGCCTGCTCCCTATTTTTATAATAAAGTCTATGAGAACTATGAGAACACAGCCAGGCCACTGGTTTAGGAATCATCTCCGGCTCGTTTTGCAAAGAAGGCAGAGTTGAGTAGTTATACAAGAGACCGTATGGCCCGCAAAACCGAAAATATTTACTGTCTGATCATTTACAGAAAAAGGTTGCCAACCCTGAGTCGAGTACTTCACACCCCTAGCTCGGAAGTGACCATGGCCTTCAAGCCCAGGTCTATCCAAGTCCAATGCCAATTCTCATGACCAAGATGCTTTCACAGTCTTCCTCAGTGGGGAGTCTTAGGAGTTCATTCAACCATTTATGCAAGAACACGTTTAGTGAATGTCCCTTACGTGCCAAGTGTAACTGATTTTTGAGAGAAATTGGATTTCTTTTTTCTTTTTTTTTTTCTTTTTTTGGGAGAGAGAGATTGAGAGAGCACATACAGGGTGGAGGGTGTTGGAGGGGCAGAGGGGGAGGGGGAGAGAGAATCTTAAGCAGGCTCTATGCTCAGTGCAGAGCCCTACTCCGGGCTTGATCTTACAACCCTGAGATCGTGATCTGAGTCAAAATCAAGAGTCAGACACTTAACCAACTAAGCCACCCAGCCACCCTGAGAGAAATGGGATTCTGTTCCTTCCCCTTGGAAATTCACCATCTAGTAAGAAAGGAACAGCATGTCCTTAACCACTCCCTCAACTCACCTAGAATAAATGGTGACCGTTGGCTGGTTAGGTTTTCACAGGTGAAATGGAACCAGGAAGTGGTGGCCTGGTGCCAGGTATATTTAGGCAAACGAGGATCCAGGAGTAGTACCCTCAGTCTTCCTCAGGAATACCATGAACTAAGAGCTCGGAGGGTGGGACAAGAGAAGGAGGTTGAAAGTTGAGGACCAGTAGGTGGCTGGGGGTGACGAAGAAGAGTTGGAAGGCAGGCAGGCAGGCAGGCAGGGACAAGGGGCCTCCACCCTAAGAAGAAATTACCCTTTAAAGGATTTTACACCACCCCGGAAGGAGCCCTCTGCCCTTTCCTAGGTGATAGGTAGATGACAAAAACCTGATTGGATGATAGGTGGATTGGAAGGTTCATCAGATTAAAAGAGCCCACCAACAAGCCCATAAAAACCCCTAGACTTAGAAACTCTGGGGCCAAACTTCTTGGGCCCCCTCTGTCTTTGGGAACATTGTGCTATTGCTTTACTATGGCTCAATAAACTGCTTTGCTGCCCACCATTCTTCATCTGGTCTACCTCTTCATGGTCACCAAGAACCGTGGGCACCAAAAAAGGAAATCCTGCAACAGGGGTTGGCGGAGGCTCCCATGGTAATGGTCGGGGGAGATGCAGAAGAGACTGCGAGGTGGCTAGCCTAGGCCACAAGGAGGAGGCTGGGATGACAGAGGCCTGGAGGGAGAAGTGGGCGCACATAGTGGGCTCCAAATTCCAGTCTCAGCTCCAGCACATACAAGCTATGTGACCTGAACAAGTCAGTGCCTGTTTCCTCAACTGCAAAACGGAAGAACCACACCTACTCTCTATAACTTAAAGGAAACACAGTGCTGAGCACCCAGTGAGTGCTAAGTAGTACCAGTAGCCACCTGCTGGGTTAAGAGCAGAATGAGAGGGGATCCCTGGGTGGCGCAGCGGTTTGGCGCCTGCCTTTGGCCCAGGGCGCAATCCTGGAGACCCGGGATCGAATCCCACATCAGGCTCCCAGTGCATGGAGCCTGCTTCTCCCTCTGCCTGTGTCTCTGCTTCTCTCTCTCTCTCTCTCCTCTCTCTCTCTCTCTCTCTCTCTGTGACTATCATAAATAAATAAAAAAAATTAAAAAAAAAAGAGCAGAATGAGAAAAGGAAAATAGGAATCTCTGACCTTGCGGCTGCCTGTGCTGGGATACCTCCACCTCGGCATGAAGTGGCAGCATGGTGTGGGAAGGGCAGCACCAGTAGGAGACATCAGGAACCAAGAGGTAGGCACTGAAGCAACCCCAGGGTGGCACAGGTGGCAGGGGGGTGGCAGGCTCCCTGTAAACATATAGGCATGGAGCCCTCTCAAATGTCCCCAGTGGAATTCTCACCGGGAAATTCACAGTGTGGGGGGCTCAGATGTTAGGGTGGCTCAAACCAGATTTAAATCTGTGATATCACGGACTTAAATCTGTGACGTCACAAGAATGTGGCTGATCACCCAGCCCACCAGAGATAAGGGCACTGAGGAGACCTTTCAGATTCTTTTTCTATCTAATAATGGGAGACTAAGTGAAAGGTTAAGATTATAAAGCAGTAAGAGAGAAAGTAAGAAAGAAATTGGTTTAGAGTAGGGTTTCTGGAAAAAAAAAAAAAAGAAAAAAGAAAGAAAGAAATAGGGTCTCTGCCCCTCAGCACAACTGACATTTGGGGCCCGCGTAATTCATTGTTGCATGTGGGAGGTTGGGGGATGTCTGGCAGCGTCAGCATCTCTGGCAGGTATGCGCCTGAGGCCAGGACCGGCCTTCCCTCAACTTGTGATGACCAGAAATGTCTCCAGACATTGCCAAAAGCTTCCTGGGGGAAGGAGGGGCAAAACCTTCATGCACAGCCCCTCCGCCCCACCCCTGCGTGTTGAGAACTGCTGGTTCAGACAGAGCTAGGGCTCATCGTATCCTTCTGGTCGGCCCTCCTTCCCAGCTCCAGATGTCCTATGTCCTGGGTTTTGATTTTCCATCTCTGCCACTTCCTGGCTGTGAGATCCTGGACAATCGTTTCACTTCGTCTGCTTTTCCTAGGGTTGTAAATCAAACAAATTGACACGCATAATGAAAAAACTCAGAACAGACCTAGTCCGGTGTCAGCTGTTACGGATTGCGTGATGCATGGCTGCCACTAGCCAGCACCCTGAGGAGCCTACATTCACTTGTCACAGACACACTGACCTTTTTCATGTAAATATTTTGATTGAAATTTACAATAGTGTTGATCTAAATAAAAGGGTAAACTGAGGCAAGCTCAAAAAGGAGGAATTTATTTGGGAAGAGCAGGGGAATTGCAATTTGAGACAAGCAAACTGTTGAAAGCTACAGATGAGCCCAGGGAGGGTTTGAGGTGGATTGTACTTGTGGGCAGGAAATGTAAAGAAGGGAAGGTTCAGGGATCCCTGGGTGGCGCAGCGGTTTAGCGCCTGCCTTTGGCCCAGAGCGCGATCCTGGAGACTCGGGATCGAGTCCCACGTCGGGACTCCCGGTGCACGGAGTCTGCTTCTTCCTCTGCCTGTGTCTCTGCCTCTCTCTCTCTCTCTGTGTGTGTGACTATCATAAATAAAAATAAATAAAAATAAATTTAAAAAAAAGAAGGGAAGGTTCAGCCAGAACGTAAGAAGCAAATGTGAATGAAGACCAGCTTAGAAAATGAAGGAGTCCAGGACAGGCCCCAAAAGGTGTCCCTTTGGCATTTGGACTTTCTTGAGCTGAAAGCACTGTGGGCTCAAGAGAAACTTTGATCCCTCCCTTAACCACATAGAAGAATCTATAGGGTCTTTCCCCAAAATAAGAGTTATTAATGAAGATAAATCTCATCTGAGTGACCAATCTGTGTGGTAGGGCAAACTTCTAATTACCAAACATCCACTCCTCTTCTTCTCACCCTGTGAGTGCTTTCCTTTCCTCTGAAGGCCCAGACCCCTACCCCTTCTCCTTAGCTCAGGATGACCTATATAACTCATTTCCACTTCCTTGGAATGTCCCTGTCTGTGTGGATTCCCCACACGTACACTATTAAATTTTATTTTCTTCCGTTAACCTGTCTCATGTCAATTCAATTCTCAGTCCTGCGAGAAGGATCTCTATGGGGACCAGGATTCTTGCTTCTTGACACAGTACAATATATAGGAGAGAAAATTTGCTACTTACTCCATTTTTACATGTCCAGTTCAGTGGCATTAATCATGTTCATGTTATCACAACCAATCTACTTCCAAAACTTTTCATCAACTTGAAAATTATGCCCTCCTTCCTCAAATAAACTCCTACCTGGCTAACGTCATTTGACGGCCGCTTATTCCCATGACCTCATTTCCTGTCACAGGACGCACTCCACTCCAGCCCTTGTGGCAATTCCCTCCAAT